ACTTAATTGAAGATTTTGGTGCTAAAAAGTAGAGTATGGCCTTAAATTCCAATGCAGAATTCTTGAGCTTGTGTTGTTGGGAGGCGGGAACTTATATGGCTCTCTGCTCACTTACTATGGTCTTAACAGTGTGTGACTTTCAAGTGGATGTTCTGCCTCTTGAATAAAGCTTGCTATACTGAAAGCGGTTTTACACCATTCTAACTGGCATACATGGTATAATTGTCAGGCTCCTTGCCATTACATATATAAAATATAAAGTTGATTCCCCTGTGAGGAAGTAATTTTATTGAGTATCCCTGTCAAGTCTTCTGTGATGTTGTGTCCCACACAGAAGGAGCCTGCCTCCAAAATGTGATATGTTGATATGGGAAAAAAACATCAATTAATCACACCATTCCATATAATAATAATAAATATCCTTTATACTGTGCATGTACATTTTTCAGCAAAATGCTCAACGCACATTACATTAATAAAAAATTTCACTTTTAACTGTCAGTGGACAAATGTAAATAAAGTTCAGGTCTCATGTTCTTGTATCATAACACCTGGCAGCAATTTTACAACACTCCTTCTCCCCCCACCCCCGTTTTCCCCTCACTACAGGGTCCCTGGGGACATAGACGAGGTAAACGCCCTGAAGCTGCGCTGTGACCAGTGGATCCTCCCGTCGGACTGCCCCGACCCACACATCCCGGCCTCACTGCTCAAGCTGTGGTACCGCGAGCTGTACGAGCCGCTCATCCCTGCACAGTTCTACGAGCAGTGTGTGGAGAACTACGCCAATGCTGATGCCGCCATCTCCATCGTCAACCAGCTGCCGGATATCAACAGGCTGGTGCTGTGCTACCTCATACGATTCCTGCAGGTGAGGAGGAGGGAGGGTTGAGGCTTGAAGGCCGGCGGAAAGAAGTGGTGAGGGGTGAGGGTGGGCTGATACAAGTGGTGAGGGTTGAGGGTGGGCTGATACAAGTGGTGAGGGTTGAGGGTGGGCTGATACAAGTGGTGAGGGTTGAGGGCCGGTGATAGAAGTGGTGAGGGTTGAGGGCCGGTGATACAAGTGGTGAGGGTTGAGAGCCGGTGATACAAGTGGTGAGGGTTGAGGGCCGGCTGATACAAGTGGTGAGGGTTGAGGGCCGGTGATAGAAGTGGTGAGGGTTGAGGGCCGGTGATACAAGTGGTGAGGGTTGAGGGCCGGCTGATACAAGTGGTGAGGGTTGAGGGCCGGTGATACAAGTGGTGAGGGTTGAGGGCCGGCTGATACAAGTGGTGAGGGTTGAGGGCCGGTGATAGAAGTGGTGAGGGTTGAGGGACGGCTGATACAAGTGTTGAGGGTTGAGGGCCGGCTAATACAAGTGGTGAGGGTTGAGGGCCGGCTGATAGAAGTGGTGAGGGTTGAGGGCCGGTGATAGAAGTGGTGAGGGTTGAGGGCCGGCTGATACAAGTGGTGAGGGTTGAGGGTGGGCTGATACAAGTGGGGGCTGGTTGTGATAGAGACTGGGACTCAGGTAGGTTGGCATTGACTTGAACAAACAGATATGGGTCAATACAAACTAACAGACAACGACCTATACACTGAGGCGATTGGGGACATTTCGATAAGACTAGAGACAGACAGACGGACACACTAAGATGAGGGAGCATTGCTATATTCCCATTATTTGTTCCTTTTTCACTACTTCTTTTCCCTGCTTTTTTTTTTTTAAGTTTTCTTCTTTGATACCAAGCTGGAATGAAATTATGTTGAATGCAGAGAATTTCAATTAATGGAAAATCTTGAAAGCTAAAAGCAGATTTTTGAGGGGATCACTGACAAGTCACATTTGATCGCAGATACTCTATAGGGTGGGTCAGAGGGATGTTGTGTTGGTATAATTTAAAGTGTGTCTGTCCTGGGAGGATGATGGGGTTTTGTTGTTTTGGTGCATTTTAAGTTTTGTTTCTTATGTGTCCCAGGTGTTTGCGGCTCCGGAGAATGCAGCGGTGACCAAGATGGACGTGAACAACCTGGCCATGGTGATGGCGCCCAACTGTCTGCGCTGTGAGAGCGACGACCCACGAGTCATCTTCGAGAATACACGCAAGGAGATGGGCTTCATACGCACCCTCATCCAGTCACTTGACACCAGTTTCATGGAGGGCATTGTATGATGATGACTGTAGTCCATAAACGTCATAAACCCCGCCTCCACCACTTACAAAAATCCCCGTCTCCATTTCGCTCCCGGCTGTTCTCCCCCCCTCCCTACTAGTTTTGTCTGTATTCAGGACTCCAGCCGTGTAGGTGTGTGAGTGATTTAACAATTTTTGTGTTAACTTATTCTGATTTGTGACTCTCGAAATGGGAGAGAGACATCCAGTGACTCTTCACGCCCCCGGCCTGGACACATGGAACGTGTGATGAAGACAGTCTCAAGCAACACTAAAACCTGGAAGTTACATCTCAGGACTGACACACAGACTGGACCTTTATATTTCTTAGACCTCTCTCGTGAGCAGACAGGGAGATAATGTCTAATGGAGTGTCTGTTCCACAAATGTGCCTGAACAGGGCTGGGTTTTAGTGTGTTTCGACTTTTCGATCTGAGCTTTCTGAGCAATGTGAGATGACCTGGTCAAGTGAAGGTGGGTTGTGAAGAGAAAAGTGGAAACCTGTGGTGCGTTTATATATGCCTGGGAAATGATGAACAAATGAACAAAAGGCAACGTACAGCTGGTTGTATAAGTGGTGTGGAGACGGGGTGAGAGTTATGAACAAATCATAAGAAGAGCGGGTATTTTGACCACCTATGATGTGCTAGGTAGTGAAGAAATATGTGCTCATTATTTATCGGTGGCATGTTTATATATAATATGTGTGTGTGTGTGGGGGGGGGGGGGGGGGTATCGATGGCTGAATGCAAGACTCTGACAAAGGCCACCGGGAAGATTTGATGTTTGTCAAACTCTTGCCTTCAGCCATAGATGCACACACACAAACATTTGTAGATGTATATTATGAAGGTAAGCATTAATAATAGGTTGAAACTGGTCAATGGGATCCTCCCAGAAAACTCAAAAGTTGTCAAAATAAAAATGGTTTTAAGTTTTTCTCTTCAGAATCTATGAAGGAGAACTTGTGACATTAGTCAACAAGGGTGATCTGTCTTTCAGACCTGAAAGTTTCTGGATTCAAAACACCAGCAATGGTGTATGGGATACGTTTGAGTGCATCAGTTTATTTTTGTTTGCCAAGACATAGAAAGGCACTGCTGCTACACAGAGGCAGACAACCACTTTGCCATTCCGCAGTGTACGATGCTCCAGATTGTGGCTCTATTGTGTAGCGTGTGTTAATCCTTGCACTTTGTGACATGGGATAGGGCAGAGGTTACTTAATCGGTGTGCATTTAGTGGACATGCTCTGTGGACCCTGGACTCAGAGGGCACGTTGTGTTTTTGTCTGGGTAGCAGAATCCACTTACAGAGAGGCTGTGATGATAATGTGAAGCTGAAGCTATTATGGATTTTGATTAGTTTTTGTGTGTGTGCTTTTTGCTGACACTGAGCGGTCCCCGTGATGAAAGCAAGCAGCCCTACATGTGTGTGTTAAAATCAGTGTCATTGTTTCTTTGTTTTGCTTTATTCAGCTGAGACCATCAAAACTAAAGTCTTTATTCACTTGTTTTCATGGTGTATTGTAGGTGCGAGGGGAGAGGGGATGGGAGAAAGTGATCTGAATATCTTGTGTGCGCAAATGGATAGCCTTTTTTTATTTTCATATTGTATTTTCAAAAAAGAGGAAGAAATCTTGTCGCCCAGCATGTCATCAGCTAAGACTGCAGAGTACTTTCTGGATTTTATAGAATTGATTATGAGTTATTTTTTTCCTTTTTGTTATCTCTTCATATATTGACGCGATCTGTCTGATAAAGGTCACCAGTACAAAGATATTTCCAACTCTTCTACTTCATCACAGCTGTTAGTAAGCCCCCCAATCTCTTCACCACTTTCTCTTGTCCTCCTGCCCCCTTCTGTCACATGTCAGCCACCCTAATCAAGATATACGAGTGTCAGAGAGAAGGTCTTGATACTTACAGACCCTAGAATAGTGTAATACACTATTTGTTAGTTTGTGCATGTGATGAGGGAGAAAATGTATATCTCCCTCACCCTAACCCCTTCCACTCCTCTCTTTTCCTCCTACTTTGTGTGGTTTTCTCTGTGTAAGCCCTGTGTCATATTGCTTGTGCTATAAATGTAACTTGTCTCCACTCTTCCATCACAGAGGACCTTCATGCCAACCAAACATATTCAGTAGCTGTTATTATTTATTTGATTTCCTTTTGGAGGTTGTGAACATTTTTATTTTCAAGCATTTACTTGTAGAATGTTGATACTGTTTGCATCACTGTTGCTTGTACTGTTACAATGCATGTATAAATACCCGTTTTAAAAAAAAGCATGTGACTATACAAAGTTTGTAATTTAATTTACTTTGCTGCCTGTGTGTGGATGGAAGATATGTAAGAATGCCTGAGTGCAGTGGTGAGCAAGTGATACTGAAAATCTGTTATACACTTACATATTGCACCTTTACCTGCGTACAAATTGTATTTAAGACACAAAAAAGCTGCACAAAAACACTAGTCAGGATACTTCATATTGAAACTGTTTTGTTGGCAGTGGCTATCACAGAATTTTAGCTTTTGTTTGGGTTGGGTTTGGTTTGGGATGGGAGGGGGGGTTGTTTTGTTTGTTTTTTCATTTTGCTTGTTGAGTCGTCAAACTTGTGAAGTCCGGTATTTAAAAAATATGTGGGCTAGCTGTCCAACTTTCCTGAAATGTTCTACCTTTTGAATATAACTGAACCAGTCCTGGATTAAGAAAACAGTAGGACTCTAGCCGCTGTGTAAGTGATGTTCGATTTCACTTGTAACTGTGAACTTCTAGCCAAAGAAAAGTGCAGCGCGTGATGGCATTTTGAAGAGATAAGAGCTGAATCAGGGCAGGACTGTGTTTGGCTTGGGTGCCAATGTATGGATAGATGTGCTCCCAAGTAGGAATGCTGTGAAATATTGAAGTAATCATAGATTTTTTTCCTGATTTACTGTCTATTCAAGCTTTCACGTCATCCTTTTTTTATTATGAGGTGTTCCTTATTTTAGACTGAGAGAGAAAACACATTTTTAAGCGTTTCAGGAATATCTATAAACACATTTATGCCCGAGTGTGTGCTTGTGTTTTGTAAGTTTTCAAACTTTTTTATCTGTGCCAGCATTTGTCCTTGTTTGTTGGTATTTTGACTGAGATTTGTAAAGTGACTGCTCTCTTTTCTTTCTTCTTTAAATAAGTTTCTTCCTACTTCAGCTGAAAGAATTGAACTATGGTAAAATAAGATTTTGCTACATATAAAGACCTGTATTTGGAACTTTTGTTTTCTTCATCTGGTAGAAGAAGAGGGAAAGTAGTGCCTAGCGATATCTGATGTTTGGAGCACCAATCAATTACTGTGTCGACTGTAAAAAATTTTAATGTCTTTATGATCAGTATTTTATTCTCACCGAATGGTTTGCCATTTATTATGTTTTCAATGCAAAGACAAAATATATTGTACTTGATGGATCTGTTTCCTGCCCTGTGCTTCTGACGGAAACTGCATTGTCAGAATCACAAAAGAAATATTATAATAATCTGAAGACTCGTATATCTGCTGTACTCTTAGGAACAGCCATGGCTGTTGCACAGCAGCTAGTCAGAGTTGAAATGTGCAACACCTAGTAAAGTAACTTTAATTAGCAGTGTATAAGCTCAGAACAATCATAGAGAACTTGAGGACATTCTGGTCGGGTTTGTAGACCTGTTGTTGTTCAAAGAATGTTCAATGCAGTCACAAGTACAGTTCACATACATGCCTGTAATGCATGATCAGCAGACCTAGGGTTTGACTGGAGTTTACTCTTTTGGAAGTGTCAGTCGTAGTTCGTGCGACTTGGCGCATGTCTTGTCTCATATTCAGTCGTCTGCCATTGCTCTCATGGAGAGAAGTCTCAGATCTGCTTTGTGCATCAATGGAGAACCAGCATCTGAAACGTATTATTCCTTGAAATAACGTTTTATTACTACCCTGTGTAGCCATTCGTGTCCAGTGCCTCATTCCCACGGCCATGACCCGACTTAAATATTGCACAGTAGCTCCTGTTCATAGTTACTGTGTCTTTGTTTATGAAAAAGGGAAGCATAAAAATATTCATAACATGTTTGTTAAAGAAAATGGTTACTGGTGTTTCAAAAATGATCCATAAGTTCAAAGGGCTACCTTTGGTTTTAAATACATCAATTTATTTGAATGTTATGAATATAGTAGTGATGTAAATGAGCATGTTTTCTGTTAAGAGGTGAAAAGTTGAGCTATGCTGCCTTTTAGCTGAAAGGAGCACAGGATGACTGTGCTGTAATGACAGCAAAAAGTTATGGTCATTTGTAACACATTTCCAATACTGGTAACCTATTCAGCAAAATAGAAATAAAGAAAAGTGACTCTAATCTGCATGAAAAGGTTGATTCATTCAATAAAAGACAACTGGTTTATCCTAAATAGACGAGTGTCTTTGCAAAGTAATTTGCATAAGACAAAGAAATCAAACGAAACAAAAAAAGAAGGATGTTGATTTTCCTTGTGTATGCAAACTTTAACTCTCCCTGTAGCCGTGATATGTTTTGGTTAACCTCTGTTGTGTTAAATCTTTAATGATTAGTTTGGTGAGGATTGAATGAACCCTACTGATATCTCAGGTGAGGGAAAGCTGAGGGAGATACTTTTTGTGAAAATGTTTTGCGCTTGAAATTTCCACTGAATTTATGTGTGCTGGGACTCTCAGCCTGTACAAAGTTTCTGATCTCTTCATTGTTCTCAGTGTTGTTAATGTGATGACCCAACTCCAATATGATATGTCAAAGCTGAAGAGGTTGGTGATTTATAAGGATGAACTGAAGAGACTGCGTGCTGAAAGAATTGCATACCTGTGGATTTCTTAATACTTTCTTTGCCTGTTTAGTGATATATATTTGTTTTTAGCCACCCCAGTGTGTATTGTTGTAATGCCTTGCCAGTGTAAGACTAAGACTGAAAGCCTGTAATTGCATCTGAGAAGGAAGTATGATGAATGTGTTGAGAGTTTTATCAGTGGTTGCTAGTTCAGGGATAGTCAGGTCCTGGTGATACTACGTCTGAAGTCTCTTGTGGTGATAGTGGGGAGCCAGAGCGTCTGGGGGAGATGGGAACGTCCCAACAGAGGTAACATGTGCCTCATGATTCCACCTGTATATTAGTTCTTTTGCTTCTTGGGCTTTGAACAGATACATGCTGCCAATGTAGGTTGCAGAACTGTTGGAAAATAATAGTGATGGTATGTAGATTGACAACAGGATTTATGATGTTGTGGTCATGTCAATACATACAAATGGTCTATGTCTTTTCATTATATTCTACTGATACAGTATTTTGCCCTCAGGATGATTTCTTTTTTTTGTTGTTTAAAGCACAAAGTTAAATGAAAATTGTTTTGAATAATATATAATCAGACTGTTTTTCTGTGAACACTCGATGGTATAAAATATTAAGTACTTAAGTCGTTTTTCTCAGTTCCAGGTTTTATGAATATAGAAGATATGGATCCTGGGCTGTTGATTTGGCTCAGATAGACATCTTCCCTCCCCCCCCCCCCTTCCAATAGACCCTAACTATTCCCAACAACTGTCAGTCTTGGTTTCAGCAAGTTGTGCCCTCCTCTAGTCTCCTCAAAGACCCACTGTGATGAGTACATAGAAGACCCCAGCTCTGAATCTTGCAAACATGAGTCACTTAAAAGAGTTTTTAAAGAACAAGGCCCACCCCAGTTCAATGCCAAACTTGCCTCCCGTGGGAGCACTTTCTTGAAAAGGTGAAGTTTTATTAGCTTTTTGTATAAATAGGGTTTTTTTCGTGTGTGGTTCTGGTTCCCAAAAAAGTTACGAGAGGAGCTGATCAGAGAATATGATCCTGTAAATAGCCAGAATGGGAGAATGTTTAAGTGGAATGGCAAGCTCTATACAGTTGTAGCTTCTATCCCCCTCTAGTTTGTGAGAATATGAAGTAACCAGCCAAATGTTCTGTTTGTTATGTGGAGCAAGTTGACCTTTGCCCTTTTCTTATAAAAATTGATGTTCATGATTTACTGCAAACATTGAAGTGATTTTTCAGAATTCTTTTGTTACTTGTCAATAATTCATTTTGCACTGGAAACACCCCCAATCCCCTCGCCTCCCCTTACTCCCAACACTTCATTGTGGGACATGGGACGACTTACATTGTATCAGAATCAGCTACATTGTACATGCATTCATTCATCCACCTGTCAGAACAAATCTTCCTGCATCCTCTACTGTTTTACACAGATAGCCCTCTAAGATTCGCGAACCCAGTCCTCCCCATCAGCTTTTTATTTTATTCTTTTCACATCTTACACTGATAAATCCCCTTTATGCTTCTTTGTATGTAGGTACACATTTTTATTTATACATTAGCAAATATTGTTCGTGTTGCTGATATTATCTCCTCTGAGATGTCAGTCTCTCTGCCTGTCAATTTTAAGTGTCCATTTTTGTTCCCAGTGCTAAATGAAAACGGTGAAACATTTATCACTTTAATGTACTCGAGGTTATCTGTTTTTGGCTTGTGAGCTTGAGTGTCATGTGTCAGAATAGAGTTCTGAAATTGTTATAACCGTGATGTGCTGTGAGAACCAAGATTAATGAAGTCCAGTTTATGTCCATTGAAACTGAACAATCTCAGATCAACAGAGAGTTAATTAAGTTGGTCACTGTCTCACCCGCTGCCCACTTACACACTTTAAGAGTCTGAGTTGACTGAATGTCTCTCTATGTGCCCTTTTTTTTCTTGTCCGTCAATTTAATGAAGGGATGATGATAGGAATTGATACCAAAAATGATGTTGTGAAGATATGCTATTTGTGCTTTAAGTGTCTATTGGAGAGGGGTGATTGGGTTTTTTTTTCGTTTCTGGAAAAGCTGTGTATAGAACTGTAAAGATCATTATAGGTTATTACCGTTATTTTTAACTCACCAGTTAGTGTGGTACACATTTATACATGTCTATGAGATGATGAGAGTTTTAGTGGATCTTTGTAGACATTTCAGCTTGGTCTGTTCCTTTGCTGTTTCTGCCTGTGTGTGAATTGATGTACAGCATTTAATTTTATTTTTTTTCAAGAGACTTATAATGCTGTGACTGTCAGACAAAATATGTCAACATAGATCTGGTAGAATTTTATTGTTTTAGGTAGTCTTTTTTGTTGTTGTTAAGTGATCCTGTGAAAGTGATTTTTTAGTACAAATACCTTCATACGAAGTTCTGTGCAGCCGGAGACAGAAGGGTAGGTATCACGGTATAGTTAAAAACCATTGTGACTATGAGTGGTAGTTAGATTCTAGGTTGTATGCTTTGTTAAAAGACAGGTCGCTGATGCAAGCTTGAATTATTGTTACTTTATAGCGTGCTGTGGATAAACTAAAATCAAATGACACTCTGGCTGTGCTTATCGAGCAGGTTTTGGCTGCTGCTGTTTGAGCAGAGCCCTCGCCTCAACTATTTGGAGTTGACAAGTGCAATAATTATGAATTGTTATGTTGATACGTATAACTTATAGAACATATGGTATGAGTTTGCCGCGCTTAAAATAGAATGTTTGCTGTTGCTTTGTATGCCACCACAACAGTTTAGCTGTGCCGCAGCAGTTTTTCCAACCCCCTAAACCGTCTTCTCGTAGTTCAAACTGTAACTGTTTCCACCGCACAAAGTCATGATCTGTTTGATACACAACATATAAAACTGAAGAAAAAAAATGGAGCATCATTTTAATCCAAATGCAACCTGCGAACAAAATGTGTGTGAAAATATCTCTATAAACATATAAATTACCTGCGCAATGTAATGTACTGCTGCAGGGAAAACTAAGGTCTCATATTAATGTAAGTCATCTAGTTTTCCAGCAAATGCTGAGTTATCCACTTTTGCACATCATCTCTGTGGACCAAAAGCTTCCTGTTATTTTTACTCTGAGTCTGAGTGTTTTTGTTCCCAGACTTGTTAAATTAATGTACAGGGGAGGAAAGCGCACAATTATGTATTCCAGTACACATATGGGTGTATTAGGTCTGTATGGGCTTACTATTAAATATTATTTCTGTAGCATGCTCGTACAAATTGCTGCTGTAATTCACAAATCATGTGACTGAGTTGAGAGTAAAGATTGCAGATATAGTTTTTTATTTTTTGTGACAAAGTGACAGCCCATTATTCTTTTAATCGATTTGTGCATACATTGAAACAAAATTTTCTCACACATACATATGCTGGCATTGGCGCACACACACATGCACATACACGAGGGCTAGCACACGCACACACTTTCTTTGTACGTGGACAAAATATAAAGCTAGTTCTAACATTTTTTGGGTGTTTTAAGTCATCAACTCTGAATTTTTTTTCCTCAAAGTAACCTTTCTTGAATTGTAACATTGGCCTCCTCTGACCAAACAAAGTAAAGAGCCTTTTGAAACAAGTTTTGTATCGGTTCAGTAGTAAACTGCCTAATTTCGGTTGTTGATCTGTTGTATTTTTACAAATAAAGTGGAACTGTATAAATAAATGAGAGTAGAAACAAAATGATATCCAAAGACAGTGAACAGTAGCTTACTAAAATCTCTGGCATTTGACAACAGAAACAAATTATTGTGCCACCTTTATGGTAATGGTCTGGGAGATCTAGTGTAGCAAATTGTCACAAAGCAAAGTCGCTTGGTTAAAACAGTAATGTCTACAGATTCTCATCTATTCTCCTGCATAGTTTATGCTGACATTTTTACACTCCATCGGTCACTCTGACTTACAGAATGCTCTCATCAGATAAGTTTACTTTACTTACACTTTGGTATATATACACATACATATATATATATATATATATATGTCACATTTCTCCTGTCTGGCTCACGTTCTAGTTTTTGTTGCTGCATAATACATGAACTGACCTACTACCTTTACCTGTTTTTCTTTCACTGCACATGTCTGGACCGCAGGCTTGCGTTTAGTAGATCAGCACCTTGGGTTGTTGTTGTTGTTGTCATTGTTGTTGTTGTTCACATTTGCTTTTCACCAGCTCTGACTCACTTTCAATTTCTATAACTTCACGTTTTTGGAAATGTTTTCGTAAGTGGACAAAGTATGAATGCTTGGTGACTGAAAGTGGGGTCTTTTGTTAACTTAAATAGTTTTTGACTTTGAATGGTATGATTTGTAATATGATATTTATGAGTTTTTTGGTTCCTGTCATTGAGGTGAAATTTCATGAAATATCAAAATAAATTCACTGTATTAAAAATGGCAAAATTGATTTTTTTCCCATTTTTTGTCATGTGTCCGTTTGGGAACATATGTTGAAATACACGCCTAAACAGACGCTCACACACGTTATGATGCTCGTACATGCACCAGTCGAAAAGTTTGTAGATGGTGGTTCAGGGAGCCCAGTAATCCAAGAGAGAAGCCAGCATGTAGCCGCACATCTACAAGTGGAAATAAAGATTTTAAATGCTCAAAATGTAGCAGACTCTTTTATACACAGAGTTGATCTCATTGGCCATAGCAGAAGCCACAAGTCATCTTCATCCTTATTTCTTTTTCTTCTTCACTTAAGGGGGGGGGGGGCTCTGTACTGCCGTGCCAAGGCAGACCAACGTATCTGCAAAAATTAATAATTAAGGGGGGGGGGGGCACCTGAAGGCCATCTCGCTTATAAGTGGACCAAATTTTACCAAATTTCGTTCATATAACAAGCATGATAATTTGAAAAAAAGTTTTGTTTCCTTGGATACTGCGGCCTTACTGGATTTTTTTTACATGTCTTATGTAATGAATACCGCACTTATTTTCCATGGAAATATTGTTTTTTTGCGTGCATGTTAGCAAACATTAGATCTAAAAATATGTCTTTGATTTGTTCCTAAACGAATTAGAAAATTTTTAATGATTTTTTTTTTCCTGAGGTAGTATTCAAGTTTGCAAAAACTCCATAAAAATCCACACTCGGGACACCACCAGCAAAAATCTATTACATATCAAAAATTCAAACAATAAATTTTTAGTATTTTATCTTCTCTTCATTCAGTGAAAATTTCATGAAGATTGGATGGAAAATGGTGCAGCCTTCTATGCTCCTCTTAATTTGCTGTTATTGTTGTTTTTGGGGTTGTTTTTTTGGGGGGGAAGGTGACCCTTTTTTTCTTCCTAAGTTATTCTGTCCATCATCAAAACACAAAGCTTTAAAAATGGTCTTTCGGGGAGCTTTTTGGAAGTTCAACCCCCTGATGGGCTCGGTGTAAATCATTTCGAAGGTGAAGCGAATATTTCCACTCTGGTGACCAGCTAAAGATCCTGGAAGGATGAGAAAGATTCCAACTCCGCCTGGGATTTGAACCTCAAGCTTTGACCTCGAAAACCCCATGGTACTAAGATATCAAACGGGAGGCTGGGGACACTGTAGACAAGTTTTTATTTATTTCCCGTCCGATTTTTCCCCAGCTATTCCTCTCCGAAACACACACACACACACACACACACACACACACACACACACACACACACACACACAACAACAACAACAACAACAACAACAACAACAATAAAAACAATACCCCCAAAAATGTGTAAGCATACATTTCTTCCACCCTGGCAAGCTTCGAACTGGTTGGGGGTAGAGACGGGGGGGGGGGGGGTATATAAATCCAGTGACACCAGGAAGAGATCTCGGGTGCCACCCCTCTACTTCTGATTCAACTAGGATAACAGAAAGAACATATTATATTCCCACTTTGTGTACTAATTTCTAGTGAAGACTTGCACATAATATACATTGGTGTATTGTCTTTAATCTGATTTCTTTTCTCTACTTTTTTCATTCGCACTATACACTCAAGAGCACCTACGTCGGTTTCTGTCCAGTGGGCGTTAAAATCGCACAGAAAAAAAAAGAAAAAAAAGAACAGCCACCACAGTAATTCATGCAGCAAAGTGAAATGCAATTTGACAGCAGCGTGATTCGACAGCTCGTGATGTTTGATTTTGATAAGGGGTGAATAATAATTTTATCGAGTGTCGACCATCGGTCTTGCTGCTGGGACCTTGTAAGCCTATCCCTCTCAACTCTCAGCCCGAATTAGCGCTGACAGGTAGAGTCGAAGCCCGCTTCCAAGATTATCTAAATACTGTCGATGGCGGTGTAGAATACATACATTGAAAGAAAAAAAAAGAACAAAACGGTACGTTAACAGAATCACCAACATGTTTAAGAGCGAACCTCTGGCTCTACCGTCTCCAAAGAGTGATCGGAGCTTACTACCTCCACCACTACTATAAACCAAGTAACTACTGTGCTATGCAGCCAATCCTTCAACTTCAAACCCCAAGTATGAGCTAAAACATAACGTGTTGTGTTTTTGTTTGTTGTACATGTATTGGTTTTGTCCTATTTTGCTAAACAAAAGAACATTTCGGTAAATCAAGTAGGCTACATGTCTATCCAAGATACATCGATGCACATATTTTATTATTCCTTGTTGAATCAGGTAGTTACTTATCTTTGATAACTGGAAGGGATGCAAACTTGCATACATGATATATGACCACCATGAAGTGTCAGGTGTGAAACTGACATTGATTACAATGGTTCGTCATTCATTTCACTGCTCCGGTGCTCTCAAAAACAAAAGTTAAAGGCCTACAGTCTTGGTCTTTCCTCGTCACCCACCTGAACAAGTTGTCAAAGCAAGTTTTGTTGCTGTTGTTTGTTTGTTTTGTTTTATATGTTGGTTTGTTGGTGGGTTTTTTTGTTGTTGTGTTGTTGTTGTTGTTTTGTTGTGGGGTGTTTTTTGTGTGTTTTTTTTGGGGGGGGGGTTGGTTGGTCTAACTGTTCCTTTTAGCCTTCTATTATTCCACCTGGCACAGGATGTTCAATGTCTTTATCATTATGTCTTTTCATGTGTCCCAGAAACTGCATGTCTCTTCTTGACCCACGAGGGCTTCTTTCAGTGTTACTGGATTTCTTTTTCCTGTAAAGAATTTCCCAACAGTCTCATAAGAAACACATTCCTGTTGCGTCTAGTTTACTTTCAGTACTTTTGGTAATAATAAGTGCCCAGCATTCACTTTCATATGCGTGCGGTATAGACGAAGTTGACCGCACACACAGTACCGTAGTTTAAGGGGGGTGGGGTGGGGGCTACACCTGAAGGCTGTCTTGCTTATTACTGGACCGAATTTTACCAAATTTCACACATATAACAAGCGTAGTAAGGAGTCGTAAAATCCAAAATCAAATTTGAGAAAAAAGTTTCGTTTCCATGGATACGGCATCCATATTGGATTGTGTTGACAGGTCTTACGTAATGAATACCGCACTTATCGCTCATGGAAATTGATTGGGTATTTTTCATGCGTGTTTACAAACACAAGATCTAAAAATCTGTTTGTTGTTTTTTTTCCTAAACGAATTAGAAATTTTTTAATGAATTTTTTCCTGAGGTAGCAGTCAAGTTTGCAAAAAAATCCGTGAAAAACCACACTCAAAAACCACCAACAAAAATCTATTTCATATATAAAAAATTCAACAAACAAATTTTTTGTATTACATCTTCTCTTCATTCTGAGAAAATTTCATGAAGATTGGATGAAAAATGGTGGAGTTATTTTTTAAAAAGTATGAGAAAACGGCCGATAAAGAAAAAGAAAATACTGACTTTATGAGGAAATGGCGGTGACAAACATGCCCGGTATGTGACAAAATACGGTTTTGGGGGGTTCTTATGCTATGAAATAGTTGTAGGAGAGGCTGAGGAAGCTAAAAAATGTCTACAACTTAAATTCCATAATTTTGAGCCGAATTTTGACTTTTTTCAGGAGTAAACTCATTTTGCTCCTATTATTACAAGTTAATCTGTCGTTTGTACGTATGTCACCTAGCCAGCCAGCCTCGAGAACCTATAGCGCTAAGCACTCACGCTATAAAGGAAGAGAAAGGCCACGCAAAATGTGGATTGAGGGTGTCAAGAGATCATAATAATTATATCCCTACTGGAAGAACTGCGAAGCTGGCTTGCCTCAGAAAACTGCATCTCCCCTCGACGCTTAGCGGCAACAGAGAATGAAAAATAAGTGAAGCAACTATCTGTCGTTTAATTTCATTGTCAGCCCAGCCGTGTTAATGCCTCGATACCTATTCGCGACATACGAAGATAACAGGACTGAAAGGCAGGTCTGGTATCTGGTAAGACTCGAGTAAGCGAAAGCCGACGCCCACTTCTTACTTTCTTTTTCTATTAGTTTTGTGAGTGCGTTCCCTTGGTATAATTTTGCCATGTTGGCTACTTAATAAATTGCTTCAAAATACCTTTGAGTCTTTGGCAGACATTAAATGTTAACATTTACTTTTAAAATCTGTAATGTGTTTATTTTTATTAGTGTATATATCTTGAATTTAATGTTAAACTGTCTCTATTACATATAAAATGTGTTTCCTTACTGAGGTTCCAAAAATGAGCCTGAGCTCTTGGATACTACCTGACAAATGGCCATAGGTCAATCATGGCGACCTCCTTATGACATACGAAAGACTAATAGAATACTAATAAATACACTAAACGAAACGGGAATTATGCATATATCAGTGTCTTAGTTTATTGACGTAGCAGTCATGTTTACTCACTTTTTAGCTAGATCTGCTGGGAATTTCCTGAAATCCAGCTCGACTGTCTCTGTGATATCAAATTCTGGAAATGCTCTCTGTGGAAGAGGAATTGTGAATTCCACAACTTTACTGGGACTGGGAGTGAGGATTCCCACCTGTAATGGAACAAGGTCAGTGTGGAGTGTCCGATTTTTATTCGTATCGGAAACAATAACAAAGCGCTTTTTGTAGAAGCAGACATGGGTCTTATAAGCGTAGCTTAGGTCACCTTTGAAACGTTTAGTATTTGTATATAGACATTATAGAGAATGCTCTACAACTGCACTGAAATAAAAAACGTCTGCTGTCCTCATTAGTCTTAGATGATTTGCTTGATAAACTTGGATTAGCCTAGATCTAGATCTAGATCTAGATATCTAAATCTAGATCTACATCTAGATCTAGAAATCTAGTAGATCTAGATCTTTTTAAAAATGTCCATATCACAAAAGTTTCTAACCCTACCTCAAACCCAAACCCTAACCCTACACCAAACGCTACCCCTATCCCCTACCACATGCAACTAAACGTAAGAATGACACATCTTCCTGATTGGCTGCTAATTTTAGTAATGTGATGTCATCACTACCTGGGATACCCACAGACTATTTTTATAAGGCCGTGGAGGTACCAAAGATCGTGTGAACATGATACAGTAGAGAATCTCTGGAGGTACCGCATGGAACGACATGTTGGGTCAGTGGCTTGAAGTATAAATCCGTATCAATGTGTTTGGAACGCTAAAATTTCACACTTGCGGCTAACTGCAGCACGTCAGCCATGCTCTGGTGATGGAAGATGGTTTAAATCGTTGATGCTCAGAACTGTAAGAACGCTGATTTGCTTGAAGTCGAAACATGGAAAACGCAAAGACAAGAAAGCACACTAAAATTGCCGTAAAGACGCCCAGCGATTACCCCCCCCCCCCCCCCCCCCCCCAGCCTGATAAACAATGCGCAGAAGAGATAAGCAGCAGCATCATTGGAACACTGCATCATATCTCATTACCGGTACGTCTCCTCGAAAAATATCTCACCAAACGTCGTGCCATGGTAAGTAAACACGATCTTTGGTGCCATGCGGTTGGCTACGTTTAGATCATGTAGTCACGTGATTTGAGGGGTATTCTGGTCTGACGTCACACAAGATGGCCGCCTTACCTAAAAATAGTTTCGGTCGTTCTACGTTTAGTCGCATGTTCCCCTACCCCTCTGTTCTACTCTGTCTCATCGTGGTCACTCATTACTGAAGTCCTCCCGGATATATATTTATATATATAGATTATAATAATACGCTGTTACTACGTTCACGGTGCCATGAACGTTGTTTGCAGGTTATGGTCACGGCGCCGTGAATCATCCACCATTGGCACAGAGGCTCGACTGAAACGCTACTTGTCGCTCAAAGTGAATTGAATGAGGAAACTGCACAGGAATACAGTCGAACCTGCCATGACGGCCACCTCTATAAGACGGCCACCTGTACAAGCGGCCACTTTCCATTTCCCCCCTTGCGTTTTTACTATATAATTTCACTGTGTAAAACGGCCACCTGTCCAACACGGCCACTATATTTCAACACACAACCACTATCACACCAAACAGTAACACCTGTCTTAGACAGCCACCTTAATGACACCATTACGTTTTGTCATAAATCATGCATTTGCCCATGGCGTTGTGGGTGAGCCGTCATTATCCAATCACCTGTCGTTATTGTTAGGTAGTCCCTCCTACTAGTCATGTTGCGTTGGCCTCTCCCACTGTTGACCAATAGGTAACACATTTTCAGCTGCTGGTGAGGTAACCGTGTGATCCCTCATTACCCATAAGCCCCACCCAGAACTCATACACAAATCACAAGTGAGATGAGTGGTCACTGTTTACCCAGTCAGTGACAAAGTAACGATGGACGTCAACGTGAACTTGCGACAAAAGCGTCGCTCGTTCTCCGGGTCAAATGGTTGCAACCCATGTGTTTGTTTTAACATGGCACTCGGTCTTACTCGTCTGACACATTTCATTTTATTGTCAACCTTGCGCTAAATGAGCAACAAAATAAAAAAACAAACAAACAAAAAACAAACCAACGAAAACAGCTACAACAACAACAATTCTGCAACCTTCGGTTGGAATCTCAGAACAGAATGGTTTGTTTTCTTCATCTTTATCAGTCCTGCCTTAGATGGCCACCTGCCTTAGACGGCCACCTGTCTTATACGGCCACTTTTCTCCTTGACAATGAGTGGCCGTCCTACACAGGTTTGACTGTACTCGCATGAAAAATTGGCCTAATGCAGCGGTGGTCCGAATGCAGCAGAGTTTACGGAGGGCAAAGGCAGGCACAGCAAAACAGTCGCAGTCAACAAGGCCTCGCTCGTTCCGCGCATGGAACTCGACTTCAGTCCTCATCCCGTGTGCGGACACGGCAGCACTCGACAATTTGAAAATACATGTCGTTCGAAGAAACAAGGGAGAATGGAAGAAGGCCAAGGCAGGAAGAGGGGTGTAAAAAAAAAGACGAAGCAAAAAGGAACAGGCTAGGGGTGAAGTGAGCAAGATTATTCTTAAATTGCAAACTACTTTCAGGGCGCCATGAACGTAGCCTGCAAACTACGTTCACGGCATTGTGAACCCTCGTGCGATAATAATAATCAAGTCAAAATATCCACCATAATCAGTATATAGGAGGATAGAAAGTGGGATCTTAGGCAGAGATCACTATGTTATTATGTTGATGTTTTTTGTATGTTTGTTAGACTGTGCACCGACAAGGTTCCTGGTCCCAATGTTTTGAAATACTGAAGTAGAAGTCGAAAGCTATAGATGTTTATAGTGAAGTATACGCTAAGAATGATTTTGTTCTAAAATTATGACTGAAATAGGAATCTGGAAGCTCGACAAACTGGCTCCAGAAAAATGTCTTGAACTTGAAATTTAATCTTTTTAGATCTGGGGATGCTGCTAATGTCAAAGAGAATTTTACACTTCTCAGTTTTTTTAGGACAACAAATGAAACTTGACAATTCCTCATTAACTTTTCCAACCTGGAGAGTTTCAGTGAATTGAAAATTAGAAAAGGACATATCACCTATTAACCCATAGAAGTAGCTTAACAGAGAAAAAATAAAAGACGAAAAGCATAACAGAAAAATTATGTGTACTATATTTAATATTTTTTTTGTTGAAATTTTTGTTTTCAGGATTGCACAAGGCAGGTTTTTTTCTTCCAGCCTGTCACCATTCGAGACATGGCAGGCCAGGACATTGAAACAGCTGCAAGCTCTCAAATTGTTAAGAGCACGTTTGTGTAAGAAACTCTCAAAGTTGCCATCAAGATTGCCTAAAGCTTCCCCTCTCTTGTGTGCAGCTGCAGTTCCTGGTCTGTGTGTTGCAGCAGAACAGTTTCGCATCTTTCCCCTTGACTTATCAAAACTGTTTGTGACTGCTCAGTGCAAAGCAAAACAAAGGCCTACAAGCCGTCTTCTCGATGATGACGACTCAAACAATGACAGTAAGAAGACAGATCCGCAGTTCCAATGGAGATTATTCTTCCAGCTTTTGTGGCAAGATATATTCTATCTTCTTGGCGCTGTTGTGGTATGTATAATGTTCACACAAATATATGTATATAGATTTTGAATTTTGCTTTCGCATTGGAGCACATATTATTTAGATTTTGCAAATGTAAAGCCATGGAGAAGATATGAAAACCCCTTCAACTGGAGACACTTGAGCTATGTCTTTAACTTATATCACACTTGTTGCAGACTAACTTCAGTGTGATAATTGCTAATTTTTGTTTCTTTCACTGTTCCAATAGAAGCCCTGCACTCATCAATATCGGCCGTTATCAATTTTAGGAATTATATGATTATCCCACATGATTTTCGTTCAAAATGTCTCATTTATCTGGCTTTGTCCTTTTTAAAAACAGGCCGCTGTTGGAGCTGCTATGGTCAATATTCAGATCCCTCTGATGTTGGGAGAACTGACCAACATTGTCTCAAAGTACACTTCAGCCATGACAACAGAGGTTGCTGACTTTCTGTCTGATATCCGTGGTCCTGCCATAAAACTGATGGGGATTTATGGACTTCAGGTGAGAGTCGGAAATTCTACTTCTCTGCTAATTCATTAACCTGAATTGTTTTCCTCTCATATGGAAAGAAAGTTTACAAGTAGGGCCTGGCCTAGGGTTTTTTATAGTTTGGTAGATTTTTAACACTTTTCATGCTCGTGAAATACACTTGTCTCCTAAGATTTCAGTGCTTGGGAGCAAGGAAAATGTGGGATCTTAGACAAACAACTATCTTAGGCGATTCCTCAGGGGGAGAATCCAAGGGTAGGCCCCTAATTGGTAAAATGATCTCCCCTTACTTTGAGATGAACTGTCATGACTTCTGGGTTTTTATTACCCTGGATCGATAACAACTGGGTTTTTATGAGTTATGGTGAGCAAAGAGTAGAACTTGATGACCAATTACACTGGTATGATGCATACCAATTTTTACTTATCTAACCATGAGTCTCAAGATCCATCCCATCACCCCTCCTTCATCAACATTGCCTTTCTCACCTTGCACCAGGGTACAGGCCACAAACAAACTGCTCCTTCCTTAACCTGTGCTAAATTTGTAGCTTTACATCTCTGACTGAGTTCCCTGCTCATTTCATAACACACCCTTGTATTGTGACCACACCAATCAAAATCCAGGCTGTGTAGCAAATTCGAATGGAGAGATGAAAGACAACTGCGATGGTCAAGGAAGTAAAAATACTGGCAAATGCACAGTTCAGTGTGAGGAGAAGGCGAAAATATTGACGAGCTGAAACCTCGGCATGATCCCACCTAGGGCAAGCATTGTAGTATTTGTACCTACTCATCAATATTTACAACGTAGATTTGATTGCATTCACAAGCAAGGATGATCTGTGACACAACAGGCAGTACAATGATCAGAAATTTTTTGTTGCTTGGTTCATCAGCTGCACTCCACCAGGCTTACATTCAGAAAATTTGTTTGGAAATGCAGTATTTTAACCAAATATAGTACTTCATAGCGGGATCTTAGGCGTGATTTTTGTGTAGAAAAAATTCTGTTTTCTTAAAACAGTGAGATCATACGTGAACCGGGATCATAAGTGGTGGGATCATATTAGACGAAGACTACCGTATTGGTATTCTGACATGTATACGGCTGTGCTGTTTTCTTCTTATCCTGGCAGAAGAATACAAACTGTTAAACTAACACTAATCTAGGCTGCAGAATACTGATATGTTCCATGACTCTACCATGTTCAGTTGATGAGCCCCAATCTATACTCCTGTTTCCAGGGTCTGCTGACGTTCACATACATCGGTTTGCTGTCAGTGGTAGGGGAGAACATGGCTGCACGGCTCCGCAAACAGCTGTTCCATTCTCTACTTTGCCAGGATATCGACTTCTTTGACACTCACAAAACAGGAGAGCTGGTGGACAGGTAATCATTACATCAGAAAAAGTTTCAGCACCGTTGTCTTCCCGTGATTATTTTTTGCCGCATACCCTGCAATTCAGAATATGATGCTATTTTGCTAGGATCATTTTTTCCGAGAAAAATATTGAAATGATTTATTTATAGTCTTCTTCCTCTCCTGACCCTTTGATTCTTGGACCCCTGAGCCTTCGGGACCCATGCATCTGAGCTCCCATAAGTTGACTGCTACATTTACACCACTGCATGCTGAGTTAAGCATTTAGTCCATAGAAAAGTAAAGGTAGGATGCAGGCGAGAATGCTTTAGGGTCCATCAGGTTAAAAAGGCTTGTACAACTGAACAATAACCCCCTTGGTAAATTATTCAATTCCTGTTTTTACCAGCGTAATCTCCAGGGTTTTATTCAGACTTGCTTCTTGTTACTAACCTTCATGTAAGGTCTAATTCCACCTCAGTTATTTTCCAAGTCCCAACTTGTAATTAAGTGCACCCATACTTGTAATTAAAAAAAAACCTTTCTGGAATGCAAATCATAGTTTTACAGTTGAGACCTAATCCCCTTATCCCTTATACTGGAGACCTCATGAGATATGATCAATATGGCAAGTTGAAATTTTATGATAGCATTGTCAGTTGTTAACATTATCAGATCTTGAATTCTTTTTTCATCATGAAATTGCTTTGTCTTTGATTTGCTTTTATTGTAAAATATAAAAACCAAAAATGTTTGTTATTGTCTCCTGAAACATCTGTAAGGAAAAGACAACATAATTTGAAGAACACATTTACTGTGAATACGTCATCTTCTTAGTTCTGATATTTTCCAACAGAGATTCAAAACTTCTCGCTAAAAGTGAAAGATCAGAAAGATGAGAAGAATAGCTTTGTTGTCCTTTCCCTTTTAAGAAAATTGTCAACTTTGTGTCACTCCCTTCTTAGGCTGACCTCCGACGTGCAGGATTTCAAAAGTTCTTTCAAGCTGACTATTTCTCAAGGACTGCGTGCTGTGACCCAGGTACTTGTAGAGGAAATAGAGGAGTTCTATATCATTGTTGCTTTAAGAAAAAAAATGAACACACATATTATTATATATATATATACAGTCGAACCTGTGTAAGACGGAATCGCAAGGGAGCGGGAAAAAAATTCAATCTTAAACATTTTCCGACTTAGACAGGGGAATTGAGGGGGGAGGTGGAGGTTGGGGGGGGGGTTCAAAGGCCCAGTCGGTGGGATCAAGGATCGCTTGTCCGATCAGCAAGCAGTGGTCAAAACTTTACACCTCTCAGCTGCTCTTAGTATTATGTCTGATAGTGACATGCGTCAGTCTTACGTATCCAATTACCGTCAGTGCTTGCCTTTCATAGGACCACTGTTTGACCTATTAAAAACAGAAACGTTTGAACATCTCCTTGGCTTCCCCCCTTAGTCCCACCCACCAATGCCATCCCTCACTGCCATCAATGTAACAACGATTCGAGGAACTCTTTTCTCGGCTGGCCATACGATCAGGGCGGCAGGCATTGGTCAATCTAATTTCACACCACTGGCTTCTGGTTACCCAGGAAAGTTTCCGTAGTGGCTCGCTACTCGAGCACTCTCACGGGCAGTCGTGAGATATCACACCCACACTACACTGACCATCTGTATTGAGCCGGCGGAACCAAACTTGCGAGTTTTGTTTCAAATCAGGGCTGAGCGGGCAAAGCATTTTCCATCTTAGACAGGTGAAACCCTCGGAAGGGAGCGGATTTTTCTTTCCGTTTCCGCGTTGGACAGGTTTCCGTTTTATACAGGTAATCAAAGAGGAATATATCAAGGGGGGAGCGGGGAGATTCCGTTATGACAGGTTTCCGTTTTATACAGGTTTCCGTTAAGGCAGGTTCGACTGTATATACATATATATTTATGGTAATCTGCTTTGAACTGATACCTTTCTTTTTTTTCATTTCTTCCCCTCCAGAAATAGTGCTGCAATTTATCATAAGTATTTTTTCAGGAGAGACCTAAAAACGTCATTTTCTTTGCTGGGGGGGAAATCTCTCATAACTAAACTCATTCCCTTTTGTATTCACAGTCAGAAGTGATGTGATGCTCTGACCGTTAGACCCTGTGATTTTTTTTAATAGAGGGAAGGAAATAGGGTTGAGGAGTTTGGTAGGATAGGTGGACTAGCCCACAGCAAAATCAATGCACCGTATGCACAGTTACACAGAAGGCCTGGGGAAGGACACGTGTGAACACTGCTGAGAGAGGTCAGTCAATCAATTAGCAGTTTTTGTTTGGTTCCCCTCATTGGATAGCTGAGGGCAAGAAATTACAATATCCATCTAAGGTTGAAATGGAGTAATCAATGGGGGTAGTGAAATTTTAAGCGGTTCTTTTACCTCTCTAAATATTTAAGCCCTAGCTTAATTCGGTATCGAGATATTAGCTTTTCTTTTTTGACTGCGATATAGAGATTTCAAAATCGTCAGAATTTCAAACACATTTTTCTTGTTGCGGTGAAAAGTGGATATATAGTCATTTCTTGTGCTGAGCCGTCTAAATGGTCTGAGAGACGATGCATATAATATGGATTGCCCACAAATTATATTTCAACTGAGAATAAGTATGGGCGATTACCTAGAAGCTAACTAGCAGAAGCTGAATTTGGTCTGTATAAGAATGTGCTATTTTTATCTTCTGATGACTGACCTCGCAGGCTGTATGGTTTTACTTATCATCGCTTCAGAGCTATTTTGCACTCTATAGTACAGTACTCTTTGGATAAAATAGTTCTGAGCCGCCTCATCCAAATCCTTATAAAGAGAAACTTTATATCTTCCCTCTCTCTGTCTCCTGACAGACAGTTGGCTGTGTAGCCTCACTCTTCATGATCTCGACCAAACTGACGTTTGTCATGCTTGGCGTCATCCCGGTCGTGATCATCGGCGGCACTCTCCTCGGTGCTGCGCTGCGGACGTTGTCAAGAGATGCTCAGGAGCAGATTGCCAGGTCGACAGCTGTGGCTGATGAGGCCCTAGGCAACGTGAGGACCGTACGTGCATTTGCCATGGAAAAGAAAGAATTTGAGTGAGGTTTACAGAGGTTTTTATCCTCTTTTTATTTTTTTTCAAGGTGTAAGAATAACTGTATGGTCAATATACAGTTGAACCTATTCAAGACCACCAACCGCTGTTGAGAAGAAAAGGGATCATCTTAGACAGTGTTACATAGTTGTAATTTATAACATGTAATTCATTGTAATGCGAATATGAATCATTACTAATGTCCAGCTGTCTAAAACCTACTAATGACAGACTGAAGAGTTGTACAACAGTGCTCAGCTACAAAAGCTTGTTAAACCCGTGTATCTTGACCTCTCTGTGTTATTATTTATATCTCAATTATATATACAGGAGTATAATAGATATGTGGTCCACTTGGACAGTACCGATATAATATATAGAGAAATATGCAAGGTGGGAAGTGGGCATTTGTACCGCGTTAGACTGACTGAGCTGGTCCCTTAATTAATGATATTGTATCTCTCTGCACCTCATCAGACTGTGAAGAATAATATGTAGGTTTGTCCAGTATGAATTGTTAATGTACATTATTTTGTAAAGTTTTCAGCAAATGACTTGTTTAACTGATGGATATTTGTCCATTCTGTATTCATGTTCCTTGAAAAACACTGGCTCCCTTGTTTATGCAACCCCCCGGGGCAGTGCCACTGACTGTAGTGTCTTTAGGCCATTCCCGAAGGGGGGACATTTTTCGTTCAAGCATAGTAGAATTGTAAATGGGCTGATTCATGTCACGCTCATAACTGTGCCTGATCTACAACGGGGAACTGCTGGTTTTTCTTTCCTAATCCTTACTATTGTCATTTTCCTATACTTCTTTTGTATGTTTGTCACACTCTTGTGACCTGCTATTTCCAGGGTGCCTTGATAGTTGAAGCAGACCTTGTGCTGTTGAAGCTAGAGAGGTGAGCAGAGTAAGTCTGATTCCCTGTAAAGACTTCTCTGTTGACACCCACCCCTTGGCCCTCATATGACCTAATGCAGTTGCGAGCACCGTAAAACCCTCTACTATAAAATAATTGTTTATGCAGGTTATATGAAGAACAAGTGAACAAGTCGAGTGCTCTGAACATCCGTCTTGGCGTTGGCATTGGAGCTTTCCAGGGTGCTGCCAACATGTTCCTTAATGGTAAATTTGTGTGGTAGATGATCTGGGCAGCTTTTCTATTGCTCTTCTGTGTTTTAAAATACATTTTGAGTTCAACAAGAACCTGGGTAATGACAAGTCGCTGTCCTTCTTCTGAACTTTTTTACTCTCCATTGCCTGTTGTGCATAATCTCGTCATAATTTGTTTATTGTTATAAACTGTGGCAAGTTTCGGACCGGTCAATTGGAGAGGGTTAACAGCTCTCCTGCATTTTGCCTGACATAATCTGATCGCCATGGAATATATTTCCTGCCTGCAGGTTCTTTTGTTCTTTCCAAGGATAATCAGATGCACGTCTTTAACCAAATGTCTGACTCTTGTCTTCTTTGATGCCTTTTACGAGAGGGTAAAAAGCACCTATGCTTACTATAAAAGAGCGTGAAACCTCACTGAATTCATATGAGAATTTTATTGTGGTCTTATACAACTTCATTAAATGTTAAAGGAGTTGATGGAGATAACGCGCTTTCCGTTGTCGATAAAATATACTGGGCTGTGCTGAGAATTGTGTAGGAAGAAATTATTTTGGGATAGAATGATATCTCGTTTTGTACTTGTATCTCGTAACCGTATTTGTGAGACGAAAATCTGAAAAGGGATTTTCACGGTTTGTTTTTATGTTTTTTTGTGTCTTCTTGACATCTCCTTGAGCACAGTCCATTTCTTGAGAGATAGATTCGTAAAGTGTCTCTGGTGTTTGCCTTCACTTCTCTACTACAAAGTCTTAAGTGTGTCATAACCTCATAAGCGGTCATGAAAACAGGTAAGTTTTCAACTGTTTGTTTTTTTCTCTGTCTACAGGAATTGTCCTGGGCTCCCTGTTTGCCGGTGGCTGGCTGATCTCCATGCACGAGCTGCAGGCTGGGGACCTCATCTCCTTTCTGGTGGCCACGCAGATGATAGAGAGGTAAACGTGGGTGGTTGGCTGGAGCTTTGGTGTGGTTTGTTCCTTCTTTCCAATCCTATCATCTTTATCTCTCTTCCTTCTTTTTTATGTTCATTACTCTCTTGTAACTCCTCTAATTTCCTACCCTTATTTGACCTTATATTGTGTTGCAAGTGCTGTAAAACTCTTATTAAAACTAAAAGAGAGGTAAACACCAGGGACAAATACATACTGTGCAGGGTTGTTGGGTTTTTTTCGGGGGGGGGGGGGGGGGGAGAAGTTGGGTTGCTTTTTTTAAAAACTGTTGGTGTTTTTATGTCCCCATCAACACAGTTTAAGTGAATTAGAAGGTGAGCCGCCTATCTGGACCAACTCAGGCTGAGAGGGGTACAACATCCCAGCAGAAAAGACCGAGATATTCCAAAAAAAATTCCCCACTCGGAATCAAACCTGCCATTGCTTTTCACCACAGTGTAACATCCTGTTTTTGAGCTATTGTTATGGTATCTTGCTCAAGGTCACATCCCAGTGACCACCCAGGTAAACACAATGTCACAGATTTATGCTTGACATTACTGTGAGCCTGCACTCACTTACCACTTGGTGCACAAACACACAGACAGACGTATGTGTTCTTTGGGATTGTAGCAAGCCAATTTTTCTAAAAAGCATTACGGGTGGTTGGCAGGTGCTCTGGTATTGTTTGCTTCTTCTTTCTTATCAAACATCTATCGTCCTTATCTCGCCTTCTTCTTTTTTATGTTTGTTACTCTCTTGTAACACCTCTTATCTTCTGGCGCTCATATGACCTTATGCAGTTGCGAGTGCCGTAAAACGCTTACTAAAACTAAAACTAAAAAGCATCTCAAAATTGAGACATTTGACCAGAGCAGTATAAATTTTCTAATCCTCACTCATATCTCTACCTCTTTAGGAAACCTCTTAAAAACAACGCAGAGTAAACAATGAAAAAACAAAACAAAAACATTTTTGAGATTCATGGATTTAGCTACAATCTTCATTGTACTGTTTGCAAAATCTGTCAACTCTAGAGAGCAGGACACCGAAAATGAAAATGTATATATAGTAAACAGTATTAGTGATGCTTGTGTACATATATGTCCGTGAAAACATCAGTGTTTTAAACTCACATAACAAACAGTATTCGTGATGCTTATATGTCTGTGAAAAGATCAGGGCTTCAAACTCTACAGTCACCATAACTTCAATCCTTAGTTCCATTCCAGGTCACTGCTGGCATGCAATAGCGAGAAAGAAATGAAGGATGACTAATTGACAAAATAGATCAAATATTCAAACTTCTGCTTTTTTCCCTATTGATCACTGGTGGTATCTTTGTTCTTTACTAATTTACTGCTTTAAATCATTTTGTAATAAAACTCATTATAACGATTTTAAACTCTCTTTTTTTTTTCAATAGCATACAGATTGTGAATTGAATGATTCAGCTTTGTTTGCATTTTCCAATGTTTGGATATATCGTTGAACCTGTTCAAAACAACAACCTATTGTCAAGGAGAAAATTTGTCATTTTAGACAGGTGTTTCTCTTGAATAGTAATAGTGCCATTATAAAATAGGACAAAAATGCAAATTGGTAAGTGACAATTAGTTGTTCGTAGCCTGAAGTGAGAATTAGTGGTGTGTAACCTACAGGTGATTGTCTCAGACAAGTGGTCGGTAGAGCAGTTCTGACTGTACCGCTATTTTGTTTTGTGACAAAGTCTTTTCTAATAGGCTCCTCAGTGTAAGACTATGTTATCATATCGCTACCCTAGAATACAAAACTATATCTGCTCAGCATCCAGTTTTGTGAAAAATTATTAGTTTCACTTGTCAAGCTTTTTTTCATGTAACTCTTTAAATATCTTGATAACGACTCCAAATAATCGTCTGATTTTGGTAGAGCGAATAGAACATTTGGTTTCCTGACCTCATGGTCTTAGTCTTAGTAACTCAAAATGGCCAAAAATGGCCAGATAGAATTTTGCAATTCTAAGGTAGTGATAATTATGTCACTTTTCAAAATGACGTATGGCTGAGTCTTACACTTAGCAGTTGATATGTACTGTGACTGATTATAATGTATGTGATGTACTGTGGCTGATTATAATGTATGTGATGTACTGTGACTGATTCTAATGTATGTGATGAATTGTGACTGATTATAATGTATGTAATGTATTGTGACTGATTTATAATATAATGTATGTGATATATTGTGACTGATTATAATGTATGTGAAATGTCCATCGTTACGGTCTCTGTCCCAGGTCTATGGCTCAGATGTCTTTGCTATTCGGCCACATGATCCGCGGGACATCGGCTGGAGCTCGTGTCTTTGAGGTATTTTCAATTGTTTATAACTCTTTGTCCCTTTCTTTCTTTTTGCCCTCCTCTCCTCCCCTCTCCCTCCTTTTTCTGTTTCTTTCTTTCTCTCTCTCTCTCTCTCTCTCTCTCTCTCTCTCTCTCTCTCTCTCTCTCTCTCTCTCTCTCTCTCTCTCTCTCTCTCTCTCTCCCTCACACACACACACCCTATATCTCCTTTCTTTATTTAAACTCTGTCTATCTATCTATCTTTTTCTCTTTGTATCCCCCCTCTCTTTCTCCCTCTCTCTCTCTCTCCCTTTTTGTCTATGGTTTTCTTTCTCTCATTCTTTATCCATTTGTTTTCCACAGAGTTGCTGTAAGTGAAATAAGGAGAGTATGAATTCAAGCTGTAACACCATGCTCCTTTCTTAAAATCAAGTTTTCGTTACTTGAATACATCTGATTAAATAACAAAAATAATATTTCAGATTTTGAAAAGTTGTGAAAAATTGTCTCTATGTTGATATTAGCTGAACGATCGTTTGCCCACCTTGCTCCATCAGTTTGGAACTCTCTTCCCCAACCCTTGAGACATACAACATCTGAGTCAAAATTTTTAAAATCTTTAAAGACACATTTAATAACATCATTTTTATGTCAGTAGATTCATGTTCAGTACAATGTTATGTAAATGACTATGTATCCATTTATGTATTTTGTGAATTGCATTGTGTTTATTATTTTATGTATATATATGTGCTCATTTCGTGACGATGTGTAAGCGTGCGCATGTGATAAGCAAGTAAATGTGTGTGTGTGTGTCTGTTTGGCTTATATATGTGTGCTTATGTGTGCGTGTTATGTGTGCGTGAGTGTGTGTGTTTGTGTGTGTATGAGTGTGTATGTGCGTGTGTGTGTCGCATGCGTGAATATTGTTCGTACATGCATTTATGTAAAGGGCCTAGAGCTGTGTTTACACGGGAGTGGGCACTATAGAAATGATTTTCATTATTATTATTATAATTATTATTATATTTAATAATGGCACAGTAACATATGCAACTCTTTTATCCTCCCCCCCCCCCACCTCCTCTCCAGTACATTGATCTCCAGCCAAAGATTCCCCTAGACGGAGGACGAAGCATCCCTTTTCACGCTCTGATGGGCGACATCGAGTTCTCAAGTGTCGGTTTTCACTATCCCAGCAGACCAGGACAGGTACTGTTTTGGATGTGTGTGGCTCAAGTGTGGGTGTGTGTTTGTCATGTGTATGTTGTTATGTGTCTGTATATATACATATATATATATAGGGTCGAACCTGCCCTGACGGCCACCTCTATAAGATGTCTACCTGTACAAACGGCCACTTTCCATTTCCCCCCTTGCGTTTTTTCTATATAATTTAACTGTGTAAAACGGGCACCTGTCCAACGCGGCCACGGCCACCATGATTTAACACACAACCCCTATCACACTAAGCAATAACACCTGTCTTAGACGGCCACCTTAGTGACTCCATTACGTTTTGTCATAAATTGTGCATTGGCCCCTGGCGTTGTGGGCGAGCCGTCATAATTCAATCACCTGTCATTGTTGTTAGGTAGTCCCTCCAACCAATCATGTTGCATAGGCCCCTCCCACTGTTGACCAATAGGTACCAATTTTCAGCTGCTGGTGAGGTAAGCATGTGATCCCTCATAACCCATAAGCCCCGCCCAGAACTCATATACAAATCGTAAGTGAGATGAGTGGTCACTATTTACCCAGTCTGTAACAAAGTAACAATGGACGTCAACATGAACTTGTGACAGAAGCGTCGCTCGTTCTCCCAGTGGTGGCGACCCATGTGTTTGTTTTAACATGGCACTCGGTTTTCCTTGTCTGATGCATTTCGTTTTATTGTTACCCTTGTGCAAAATCAGCGACAAAATAAAAATTACAAACGAAATACAAACCAACAACAACAAAGACAACATAATGAGGCTACTTTCGATTGGGGCCTCAGATGGGAATGGTTTGTTTTTCTTTATCTTGATCAGTCCTGCCTAAGACGGCCACCTGTCTTATACGGCCACTTTTCTCCTTGACAATGGGTGGCCGTCTTACACGGGTTTGATTGTATATATATATATATGTGTGTGTTTGTGTTGTTTGTATGTATATAATATATTGTGTGTGTATCCATGTGTTGTTTTTGAAGGGACTGGGGCATGCATATATTAATGTACACGCATGGTAGTTTTTTCTTGCTTAATAATAATAAATTATGGCTTTTCGTCAGAGTCTAGTTCTTAAGTGATAATAGTTTATGTTCCTTTCATCGATGGCGGGTGCAAGACTTTGTCAAACACCATGTTGCAAAATGGCATTTGTGGGAGTCTTGCACCCGGCCATTCATTGACGTGTGCTTTTATATTCTTCTCTTCTCCCTTCTGTTCATATGTCTTTACACTTGGAGTTTTAGGCTGGACTCAACTCAGAACTTGGAGGTCATCTGTCACTTGTGCACTGACCTGTACATTTTCGGGGGGGGGGGGCAAATGAAAATGTTTTTACGTGCCCATTGACACAATTTAGATCACCTAGGAGACGAGCTTCGACCCTGCCTGTTCGGGCCCGCCAGGTAGGAGAGGGATATACAATATCCCAGAAGAAAGACTGCAATATTAAATTAAAATTCTCCCCACATGGGATTTGAACTCAGGTCTATTGCTTACTATGGCAAAGCATCTAACTGTGTTTTCTTTTTCTATGAGTTTGAAGGACATATCAGATTGTCTTGTCAGCTTCTTGCATAGATGTGTAGAAGAAGATCTAAAGAAACTGAGCACTTAATAGTTTTATCATTTATACTTCAATATCACTGTTTGCTAATACTAATACTTTCTGATTCTGTCTGATTAAAGGGCGCTCCATTAGCTCAGTTGGTATCATGCTGGACTATGGAGCAGCTGGCCCTGGTTCAAAATATCAGGATGAGTTTTCTTGAACTCAGTTCATTTTGTAGGTTTTCAAGGCTCTCACTCTCAGCCCACTTGGCCTGGTCCTGTCAGTGACAGATGTTAAGTTCGGAGATCCTACCTCTTAAATAACCTAATACTTTCATAGTTATGACAGAGCCATTAAATTCGTTGACTTACACACTTTTATTCTGTGATCTAAACAGTGTTAATATTGCTGTCAACACTTCATTCAATAGTTATTCTTGTTCTCCTCTTCAGGAAATTCTAACAAACTTCAATTTGAAAGTTCGCGGTGGACAAATGGTGGCCTTGGTTGGTCTCTCGGGTGGAGGTAAGAGAAATCATCAACAAGCTCAACACACGCACACACACACACACACACACACATACACTCACACACACACACACGCACACACACACATACACTCACACACACACGCACACACACACACACACACACGCACAAACACACAAAAATATTTACACGTACCTTCTCATGCATGCAGACACACACATATATATATGTGCGCACATACACTCCCACTCACAGCACGCCCTCCTAAGTGCACTCGTAGTCAAACCCGTGCACTCAGAAAATATAAAGAGTTTCAGTACTTTACTTTGTTATATATTTATTTTTACTTTTGAACCATTATTGTTGTGGATCAATAACAAGAACCGTGATTGTTTCTGTCTGGAACTGTAAAAAATGTACGGTATGGTACAGTAGCTGAGACAGCATTTTTCAGCAAGTTGTTGTAAAGTCCAAAGCCCAGAAAGCAAGTTTTTTTCTGGAGAGAGAAAAAATTGTTTCATTCTTTTAACAATTGTACCTACTTTATTATACTTTATACATCTTTCCTTGCTTTTTTCCAAATTTAAGATTCGAATTTTGACAAAACATTTCTCGCTCATGCACTGATTAACTGATTCACTACACCGAGCCGTGGGGGGGGGGGCTAAAGTGCCGTCAGTACGCTAAGCCGCCCCCGGCGGCTCGAGAACCGATCTTCAATTTTAGCTTAGATTCTATTCCAGTCCACATATCCATGTTAAAATAAAGGTCATAATATAATGTTGACTTCCGGGTCAAGCATTTCCACTGAAAATCGGAAATTTAGATTCAGTTTTGAAACGCGATTTCGTAGTTTATTCGACTTTGTTTCATCGCGATGCCAAAATTAAAGCCCAGACACTAGTCTTAGTAATTTTACGCAACACAATCTATCATTATTTTGCCCACTAAAGAAATGTAGGACTCTTTTTTATAATATTGATACGATTGGACTCATATTGCCAATGCACTGTTAATACTGTTATTGAGAAATCAATATTTTTGAGTGCTAGATCTAGGTCGAGATCTAAATTGTCAAAATATTTTGTTCTCCCTAAAATCACTACTTTTTGATGAAATTACACAAAAGTGCCACTCAGGACATGTATAGGGTTTATTCCAAATGCAATTCTGAATAATTCTATATAAGATACAAGTGGATATTTTTCTGTTTGTGATCGTTTTTCAAGATTATAAAACATTTTTTTTTTTTTTTCAATATCAGATGTTATGTTCAAAATGTACAAATATTATGGAATGTAGGTAAATAACTGCAAACTTTTCAATATTTTCCAGTTCTATATTCATTTATGGTTATTTTATTTTGATGTATCATTTGACTAGGTGCAAACATATTTTTTTAGTTTCACCAAAGATGATCAATTTTTTATTTTCAAATTTTTTCCGCATCCAATCAAAATTGTGTTGCATAATCGTCTCTTACAGGAACTAAAGTTGAAAAATACATAAATAAACATTACAGATGAATTCTGCTAACCATGCTGAAAATATTGGTATATAATACGTTGATATTTATTTGAATTTGTGGCCCCAAAGACCTTTTAACTGCCCACTAGTCATCATTTCAATCACCCTCCCGAAAAAAAATTCGTCCACAAGCCGAAAATAATACGTAGAGAATGAGTTAAGAAACTGCAATTTTAAAAATTGTCAAAATTTTTGGCTTAGTAGTACTTTGAAACGGCTGACAGCTGTTACAACATTTGTATCTCTTAGCACAGTTACTGAGCCTGCATCTCACTCAGAAAAAAAGGATGAAAGGCTGCTCGGAATAAAGCTTTTTCACTGGAAGATGAGGGGAAAAATGTGTGTTTTGTTTACTCTTAAGTGTTTTTACGTACATAATGTTTACCTTAATAAACTCAACCTCACCTCTAAATTGGGAGGTATGCTCCAAAATTGGTCCTTATTTGTAGTTTTATTACTTCTATCTGTCGTTACTTACATTACATTATTACTATTAGTGTCTTTATCTACTCGACAATGACAGGCAAGTCAACTCTGGCAGTACTGTTGGAAAGATTTTACGACGTCACCTCGGGGAAGATTACACTAGACGGGGTTGATCTTCGTGACTTTGACCCCACATGGCTCAGAGGTCACGCCATTGGCTTCATTAATCAGGTACACAGATTAGCAGTATATTATTATGGTCTTGGTAAAATTAACTCCTTCATTGCCCTGTAATTTTTCTCTCTCTTTCTCTCACTTATTCATTCCCTCCTTCCCCAGCTACTTAAAAGAAGGTTTCGCTGTAATAGGAATTCAGTGTCCAAACTTTTTAATGTAATCTCTAAATTGCTTTTCTCACAAGTGATTAGAAGTTTTGCACCAGGTGTTTCTTCATTTGGCTGTGTGCTGTGTGTGTGGAGGGGGGGCTGATGGCGTTTATATTTTTCTGTACAACTTCTCATGTACACTTGCTCTTTTTTGTTTCCCTAGAGCCTGAGTGGGTGGTTGGCAGCTGCTCTGGTGTGGTTTGCTCCATCTTTACTATTAAACATCTATCGTCCTTTTTTTCTGCTTCTTTTTTAATTGTTTTTATTGTTTATTACTCTCTTGTAACATCTCTAATCTCTGGCACTTTTCTGACCTAATTGTGTTGCAAACTCGGTTTACGCTTGCTAAAACATAAAAAACCAGTAGCTTGTACTGTTTTGTTTTGTTGTTCCCCAGGAGCCTGTTCTGTTTGCCACCTCCGTGATGGAGAACATCCGCTACGGCAAGCCCGAGGCCACAGACCAAGAGGTTTGAGAAAGATCCTTACCCTTTTCACATCCGGATTGTCACAGCGTCTGTTTGGTTTAGTTTGAATTTGAATAAAAAGAATAGAATGTCAACACAATAACGGTCATTAAGTGCAAGAAAATAGCAAGTCTAGTGGGTTGAATCTGAGTAAGGAGAAGAATATGGATACAAATAAATTATGATCACTGTGGTTTAGTATTGGCAAAGAGCAAGATATATACAGACTGAGACAGCAATGGAGGGGGGGGGGGGAGCTGAGACTGACAGTCCTACCTCCAACAATACAGAAACTGTAAAATATTGAAAATCTGAATTGGTTTTGTACCAGCTCTGAGAAACTACAGGAGATTTGGAAAAAAATTGCGTTAAAAAAGTAGTAGTTAAAATTCTTTGCAGCAGTCTATAGAAAATTGGTATCTTGACAGGGCTACGCTTAATGTTCTCCAACTTCTGTTCTCACATTCTAGGTGATTGAGGCCGCCAGGTTGGCCAATGCTGACACGTTCATCAGGAAATTTCCTAAGGGTTACAGCACAGTGCTGGGTGAGCGAGGCGTGACCGTGTCTGGTGGGCAGAAACAGCGCATCGCCATCGCCAGGGCACTCATCAAAAACCCATCCATTCTCATCCTTGATGAAGCCACGAGGTTAGACAGTCTTTTTGTGTGTTGTCAGCTCTTTGACAAGACTTGTATAACACAGTGTATAATTATAATGTTAATTCAGGGCTAGAGGTCATGTCTCTCTGAAGTGAGGACTTGAATTTAAATAACCAGTTTCCTTCAAACCATGGTGATATAGTGCTAGGAAAAAGGTTAGCATGGATGCCTTGATGCTATAGATGAAGATTGTAGAGTTAGTCTTATAAGTTCTTTAGACTTTCTTACTTTGCGGATGCAATATTTTGTCTACAATGACATAAATGTTGGAGGATGGCTTCAACTCTTTATCTCCGGCAGCAGCTCGGACGCATTCCTTTACGAAAGACTTCGACATCGAATTTCTTTTCGGGAGTTCATTCATTAGATAAAGAACTATAAAAATAGGTCCACTTGTTTTGATTTAACTCTTCATGTCCGGTGAGCCGGTGGAAGCGGCAGTACCTGATGTTGTTAGTGATTTCAACAATGCTCTCATTAAGTCATAATTCTTTTATCAGGTGTTTTGAAACTACCTTTTCTAATCAGAATTGTGAAAAACCCTGTGCTCAGATCGGACTATGCAAGTTGTGTTTCACAATAAAGATAACTTGCAAGTTGAACTAGTTCTGCAAATCTGATTAAAAGAAAATTATGCTCTCTCATCCTTGTAATGTGTGTGGCTGAGTGTTGCAACCAAGCCCCTGACTGTCATTGGGGGAGGTGAACAAGTCTATCCATTTTACAAACGATAAATAATTGTCGTTTGAATATTTGTGTTAAAATATTAACAGACCAAGCTAAAAAGTCTCACATTTTTCTCCCCCACAGTGCTCTGGACGCAGAATCGGAGAGGCTGGTGCAGGAGGCCCTGGATAAAGTGGTCAAAGGTGAGAAAGTTGTACTGTATAAAAACAACATTGATCACATGAACTTCACCGAACCAGATGATTTGTTCATGGTTACAATGCATAGAATCAAGTCTGGGGGAATAATGGGAAGTGGAATCTGTTTGTGGTAACAGGAATTTGTTTGTGAAACAAAGTCTACTGATTGTTTCAGTGTAGTGTGTGATTTAATTTTATTGTTTTATTTTCTATTTTGGCATTGGAGATAATTTTCCTGTCAATTTTAAGAGTCGATTTGTTCTTTCTTCTATGACTTTTTAATTTCTTCAACTTTTTTTAATGTACGCAGGGAGGACAACCCTTGTGATTGCTCACCGCCTGAGTACCATCCGAGATGCTGATGTCATTGCTGTAGTCTCAAAGGGTCGGATCATGGAGGTGAGTATGGGGAATATCAGGTACCACAGGGGTCAGGTTATGCTGTTATCCTGCTGTTTGTATCAACGGCGCACACTGTTTAGGTATGCATATTCGACTGAGTGAGTTGTGCCTCCTTGCTTGTGTATCATTGAACATGAATGTACCGAGTGCATTTCTGTGTTGATGCTGAATATTTGTATGTTGATATTATTCTGGTATATCGGCGAAAACTTCCCTCGTGGTCAATATCTTATCCTATCTTAACTTAGCAGAAACAAACTATATTGTTGCAAAATTCCTACCTTCAAAGAAAACTGTGTGTGTGGGGCATCCACATTGAAAGAGAAAAACTTAAGTTGCATACATTTTGTCAGGCAGATTGTCACAATTTTGTAAAAACCTGACTACAGTGGAATCCTGTTATAATGAGAGGGAGGGGACCGGTGCGAAATGTCTGTTATAGCAGGATTCTCGTTATAAAGGATCCAGTAATAAATTCAAGGGAAATAGTAAAGTAGGACTTATCTATGAGTTTGGTGTTCTGTTTATTCCTTTTTGTATTTCCCCTGATCACGATTTTGTTCAACCTGATCTCTAGGTCTTATTTGATCAAAAATCGAATCGGGTTTCTTTTTCTAGCACTAGCAATGTTGACAGCTCGGCGCTGGCTATCTGAAAGGAGGGGCTCTGGCTCTAGGCTAACTCGCCCGCTGTGTCTTCCCCCACCCCACTACACCCTGTGGAACGTTGCGTCTGCTTGCGCACGTCACACATTCACTCCATCTATCACAGCATTGTAACCTCTCCATCCCGCACCAGAGAAGTAAGAGGCTTGGTAGGTCTGGATAAACTAGACTGGGCTGGCCTATCACGCGATGTGTTCTGCTTGTCTGCGCATGCCTCACTCTCCCCACTCATTCACTGCGGCCTTCATTGTTGCTTCCCGTGGGCTCTCCCATGCTTTGTTTAGCTGGATCACCAACAACTTTCTCTACTGGCGAGGTTTTATATGTGTAATTGGTCTGTGCGCTGTGCACAGCAGCAGCAATATTTCCCTTATAACCGACTTGCGTGACTCTGATTGCGCAATAGCAGTATTTTATTTGCAAAGATAAAGAAGGGAAAAAACGGTGTATTGGAATAGTGTCTTTATAACAGACTTCTCGTTATTTCAGGACTCGTTATAAATGGACTCCACTGTATTAGGAAAATCATGTTTTCCGTGACATGCATTTGTGGTTTTCTCACTTTGCTACTTTATTAATCCTTATTGTGCCTATTAGAATTACATAGTGGCCTTACCCCACTTTGAATAGTTTTTGAGTTTGAGAAAAAAAGGGTTTTTCAATTTTCAAAAAAATTAAAACTATTGACTAAATTTCCATTTCAACAGTGAGAAAATATTTTAAGATAGCCTACATGTAACTGCGAGGTTAGATCTTTATTTGATGAAGAATAAGAGATGTGACAGCTTTATTCTATAGTAGTAGTAGTTGAAATAAGTCTAATTTGACCAGAAGTGGAGATAGACCGCTCTTATTCTCAAGGCAGGGCTTAGTTGTGCTTTCAGCAATAGATAAGCTCACTTTACTCCGACTGCCAGCGTACAGTGATCTGTTGTATCCGAGTTGTGAATGATTGCAAATGTTTTATGTTTCCACTTCGATAGACGTAATTCAATTCATTTAAGCTGGTTGCTTTTACCCTGCCTGTCAGAGCCAACCTGAATGGAGTGGGATACTGCATACTGGCAGACAGACAGAACTACTCTATGAAATAAATTTCTCATGCTGGATTGGAACTCATGTCTTCTCCGTGCAACGATAAAGAGCCAAACCATTGCATTACAGATTCTGTTGTTGTGCATGGTATCTTATCTTGAGAATGAGAGTATTTTGTACGTGTTTTCATAGGTCTGACAAATGTGTTGTTTCTTGTCACTAGATGGGCACACACTCAGAGCTCAAGTCCAAGCGAGGCCTGTACTGGGAGCTGATCAAGAAGCAGGAGCTGGAAGAGGATCTGGAGAAAAACTGAATGGGCCGCGTTGTCTCCACGGAGAACATGTGAAGCCAGTTGCTGTGGTTGTGTAGTGATTCAGAATTTTTTTCATCACAAAGAGCATCTGCTATTCACGTTCAAGTCATTTTTGCATTTGGAACTTACTGCATTGTTCCGAAAAGCTAACACGCACCGAATTTATTGTGAGAAACATCATCAGTTATTTACATTTACATCTCTATGTATTCATCAATGTATGTGATATTGATTGACAACAGAGAAGGGTGCCAAACTTGAAAAGTAGGCTTGCTGCTCGTGAGCCACTGGATGTTATTTTTTTGGCCTCGACACTGGCCTTATACGTCTCGACAGGTTCTATTGTAACTTGTAAGGGTACTTTCCCGACCTTTCTTTTCTTCTTATACAGCAAGCAATGCGCAACTGCAAAGTCATAAATTGTCTGTTTGGAGATTTTTTATTTACAGGTTTACGGTAAGCTCTAACTGTCTTTGCCAGAGAGGAGACTCTATGTTAAGAATAGCGATCAAAGATGAATGCAGCCGTACAATAAAGGGAGATTTTTCAATTTGTTTATAGAATGTTTTTCTCTACACCGATTTTTTTGGGGTATTTATCATTTGTGAATCAAGAAGAAAATTACAGGATTTATTATAACCTTACAGAAATGCCATCCTGAACTTCTCATCGCTGCATGTAAATTGCACCATATAGGTCAAATGCTGATGTTAATATATATATGACGCTTATTCCATGTTGTCGCTTGAACTTTTCGTTAATTAAGGAAATAAACCTTATATTTATGAATGATAGAATTTAATGAAAGAATAAAGATTAGTACATACATGTACCAAAATTTGAACTTTTATAGATTTTTTTATTTTATCTAAACCCTATCCGAACTCCCTGGGGTCATTTTGTACCCCCGGGTATATATATTCTCCACAATTTAGAAGAATACTTCTTCTAGTATGAAGATCTCTTTGAAACTTTCAGTATTTCTCAAAAAACCATTTTTATTTGACAGAATGCTATGCAAAGCGTACGGATGGGATTAATGAGTAAATTTCCTCTTTGGAAAGTGGTGGCTCAGAGTTCCCCACGTCGTATGGATACGATAGTTAAACACGACGTACGGATAGGGTTAAATCTTCACCACCTCTCTTGAATTTGCTGGTATGACTGCTGAACTGTGTGTTGCGAATGTGAGAGAAGTGATAAAGGACAACAGTGGATTTTCATGAAAACTTAGTCAGCTTCTTAACATTTAGTCTGCTGTAGAACACAGTAACCTTTTCAAAACATTATCACAGTAAACAGAACAAAGTGAACAATGAAAAAATTTCTGATTGCACAAAATCAATGTATTAATCATATTGCCAGTATCATGTTATAAATTTCATCCTGCAGTTTCACTTAACATAATAGACCAAGAAAAATAACATCTACAAAAAAGACAACCTTTAACCATACCTTTGCTTTTCCTCCTCTCACAAACAACTCGGAATTTCCCTATCCTTCAAAGGTGCTATCAAAAAGTCCACTTACTGACAGATTACACAACCAACATCCTGAGAACTTCTTCAACATCAACCACCTTCTTCAAAATAACAGTTTTGTTGACAGTGCACCCTCTCTAAACTAACCCCCACTGGCAGCAATGAACTGAGTTTTGAAGTCTAGTGGGGAGATACCAGGGTGGAACTGTCGAGGTGGGAACTTGCAGGTAGCACCTCTAGCTCCACGAAGGGCTTACATTTTTGGGCATATGTGTCCAGACTCACACGGGGATCAACATGCAGAGGCGCGTGCAAACTCACAAACAAAATGTTATTGCTTCTAAATAAATTTTCCTGGCTTTGCAAAGTTATACAAATCTACATATATCTACAAGGATAGTCCACTAGCCAGGATTATTTAGCAACCACTCTCAGCTGACAATGGTAGATGAGAGAACGGAGAAACATCCTGGTCTCCAACTGAAAAAGAAAACCTGACTGCTAAAAAGCACCTCACAAATAAAAGAACCTCTTCTCCTTTGAGGTTTGAAACCATGCACAACCTATCAACGGATCAGAACTACCATAAACCAGACATCAAGTGTAGAAATAACTATTTAAAATGTCCCAAGCTTTAATGCTGGGACTGGAAAATCTTGTGTCTTGACAAAATTCAGGCAAAATACAGTAGAACACGGCTATAGCGGGACATTTGGTTCCAGAAGAAAAATCCTGCTGTAGGCGAGTTCCTGCGATAGGAATGCAGAGGGGAAATTACCGAAAAATGTATTTAAATTCACATGATTACCCCCCTCCCAAATCAATTAAATTTGCGCTTTTGATTAGTCTTCCTTTTCTTGTCAACTTCGTCGGTTATCTCCACCTTTAATTCGAGTGAGAAGCGTTTCCTTTTGTCCTTGTTGGAAGCCATCTTTTCCTCGGTCTCGTTGCTTGTGCTGACTATCCATTAGTAGGCCAACCGCAGAGCTTGTGAAATGGATGCGTGTGTATGCCTATGAGCATCAACGATCGCAATTCAATGAATCAGTAATCACACACTACACGCTCCCCTCTTCCATTACTTTTTGGCCTAGCCTAGCCTTAGGGCTATGGCCTATACGCTCTCATACTGAGCGTCTAAGCTACGGCACATCACTTTTGGAGTTGCTTACGTAACGCGTCTCTCCGCACCATCTCTCTCTGCTGCCTGCCCCACCTCACTCATCACTGGACTGGCCAATCACAATGCTCCACCGCTGATTGCCTGTTTGGAGCCCGCCTACAGTTCCCCAACCCCCGTCCCCCCAGCTAGAGCTCGCTCGATCTCTCCCGCTGTATCCGAGTTCAGGCCTTTCCTTGCCCCGCTAAACCCGAGCACAGGTTAATTGAGTTTACATATAGAGAAAAAAGGGGGATTCAGGTAAGGTCCCGCTGTAGGGATCACCCCCTGTAGCGGGTGCCGCTAGTTGTGTTCTACTGTATACACCGAACTTGGTTTTCCTCAACAACAAAAAAAGATTTTGAAACAAAATTCCTGGGAATTATAGCTACAGCCTGATACAGGTCTGAACTTCTCAGGACAGGACACAAGAGGCAGCCTCTCTACCACCTGATGAACGCTGACAGGGTTTTATCAATTCAACACTTGCTCTACCACAAAATGAGCCGGGACAGTATGGCACTATTGACACAGTAGGATATAGGAACACCAGGAAGCCAATTATGTCAGTTGCAAAACAGAAAAACAAGAAGAAGGGTGGGTTGTGAGGGAAATGAAATATTAAAAAACAACAGGGAATAATTGCAAATCTTCAGCCTTTCTCATTATCCACAAAAATGCAGAATGTACATAAATGTAGGCTACTTGGATGTGCTAAACAGTAGTTAACATAACACTTTACAAAATTAGCTGCCAGTGTTGAAGAAGACACTTTGTACTTGAACAATCAAATTTCAAACATATTTGAGTCTCACAATTCATTCCACTATAGATACAAAAGTAAGCTATCACTGACCTGGGATAGAAACCCCACAAATCAAAACACCCGTTCTCCAAGCACATCTCATTCAGCACAATGAAGTGAACAACTCACAGAGCAGATGGGCCACACTGCACACAAACAAAAGAACCGAACGTAACGCTTCTTCATTCCCTTCAGTGCCATTCATCTTATTATCGCTAAATTCCACAAGTGCTACGGAGGCGACAAACTATGCAAACACACAACAGTACCATGGTTCCAATTCGAGTGTGTGTGTGTGTGTGTGTGTGTGTGTGTGTGTGTGTGTGCACGTGGTGGTGGTGGTGTATGTGTGTGTGTCCCTGCCAGCCTGACCTCCTGACAATCAGATACAGTGTGTGCGGGGGCTCTCGTGGCCTAGAGGTTAAAGTGTTGGCCTCTCATTCAAAAGTCCCGGGTAGCGACCGAAAAATTTTCTTCTCTAAAATTGTCTCCTTTCACCTCCTTTCCTGCTCTCTAGCAATGTTCTGTTGTCTGCTTTCAATTCCACTTTCTGCCCCCACCCCCTCACCTCCTTTGCCCCCTCCTCTTTGCTACTGCTACTCCTTGGCTCCTCCTTACTGCTGTCTTTCTGCCACACCCCTGATCTTCTGGTAGGAAGGATCTACACCTAGCCTTCTCGGACAAGGGCGAAAAATCTCGGAGGGCCCGTGTGCAAGTTGCGCACGTTAAAGATCCCTTGGTGGTCTAAAATCGATAAGAGTAGGCTTAGGCCGCCACCCAGGCAAAATTCAAAATTTCCTACCAACTGAAAATATTAGGTGTGTCCCGCGCGCTCATATGACCTATGCAGTTGCGAGCGCCGTAAAACACTTTACAAAAACAAACAAACAAGATACATGTTTCTCTATTGTACACACCAACACTGTATCGTTTGAGCAAAGAGAAACACATCAACCCGTTAATGCCCATTTAGTGCAAGGAAATTTAAAAGAAAGACAGACAGACAGAAAAAAATAGAGTGAAAGAAAAGTAGTATGAGTAACTAGTGGTGCTCTCCAACCATCCGCGCACACATAAGTCTAGCAGCGAGGCATCGCATTTTACAAATACACAAAATTAAATTCACCCTTAGCGAAATATTTTGACAATTTGCTTCCTTACAGCCAAACCATGTTATCAAACTTTGGACATGAACATTGTTTTCCCTAAAATAAAAAGTGCATACCATGTCCCATCAGAAATTTTTACAAGTGCAACCTTCAAAAAAACAGTTCATTTTATACAAACAATAAAAACAAAAAATTTAAGTTGTCTCTGAAGAAAAAAAAAGACTTTTTTTTTAATCTTCAAAAATGTCCCCCAAATCATGATGATTAATTTTGGCTCTAAGCTGATGACTTCCCGTAATATACAGTGCTTCCACCAGCGGAAGCTGAAAAGTAAGGATAATTTTGCCAGGGGTACAGAGTCCTGGTGGGGGATCAGGGGGCAATGCCCCTGAAAAAATTGAAATTTAGTGCTTTTAGAGGGTTAAAATGGCATTTGGGAGCCTGTTTGAAGAGATTGCCTAAAACCCATAACATTTATTGGTTCGCCAACATTTTGTCTTGTTCAATTTTTTCACCTACATATCTTTCCATTGCTGGCAATGTGTAAAAGCAGATTCTCTTCCATTGCTACTATAATTCAATTAATTTGTCATCGCACACTTGATAGAAGGCAAACCTGGAAATAATAGATATGTACCTTCACAATACAGTTACCCAGCGTATACCCTAATTTTCCACAATTTTCACTTCTGAAGGTTGCATGTCACAACCTCGGAACACCATTTCGAATTAGACCTATACTCTTGATTTTAGTAGTTTTAGCATAATTTATTTCATCGCGGCCCTTATCACGTTCCTGTGCAGTAGAATCTTCTTTTGTGTAAATAGTGTTCCTGTACATAGAACTTATTTTTTCACGAGACGTTGGATTTATTATTTCATATTGAAAGTTGAATTTACCCCTTCCACTGAAAGCAAGACAATCACCTTACTCTGCATTGAAAGCCTTTACCGTCATCTACCACAATCACCTGACTGAAGGAACTTGACCAGACAACCAAGATTGCTGTAAGTGTACCTATAGTTTTTCTCACTGCTTAATTACAGATTTTTCTTTCAGGTTACAGAAAATTAAGCACCAAATACAGAAGATTTGGAAATTCAAACTAGGCAGGTCTACTTATACAAGACGATACAAAGACGAGTACGGATCTTTTGCTACGGAATTTCAGTAGATATTTTGTCCTACGCTGTCGGGTTGTTTTTTTTACGGAGGGAGTTGATAATGATGGAGGAACAAGTACGGAACTGGCAGAAAGTAAGGATTTCCGTAAAAATACGGAAGAGTGGAAGCACTGAATATATACCACATAGTCCAACAATTCCTTTCAGCGCATTATTCACCAGGTTAATAAACACCGGCACACAAGGCGATTCCTCAACAGAACATTAACAACCCTGATAGCGATACACAACAACAACAGAGCACTTTCTTAGATAAAAATATAATGCACAAGTACAATTAGAGGGGAAAAAAATAAAGCTAGTGACTTATGCCGTGAAATGTGACATGTTTTGACAGGATCCAGCCTGTCTCACAATGAGAAATTTACTATGCAGAAAATGAAAAATAACTTTCTGTTCAAAACGGAAAAAGAAAATGACGTAATGCAAAATTCTCTTTTCTGAATATTAAGAACAAGGAAATAGTTTCTTAAAACCAGTGAAAAAAAAAACGGTATTCCCTTTCATGACCAAAAAAAAATATTGAAATAATATTCTGAAAGCAGAAATTAGGGACTTTCGTCTTTCCACGACATAAACGGAGAAAAAGTTACGCGGCGGTCCTTTTTATTCTATAAAACAATCATTAGCTGAATTTACTAAATATCTACTCAACACCAATCATCAACAGCTTTCATCAACTTTCTCCCTTCACACACATACACAAATGAATTCAGACACACGTTTACTAGCCAGTTTCCTCCCTTCAAACAAACACACATGAGCTCAGGCCCACCCATACACCGGTTACAGAGAGGAGGAATAAACATAGCATTACACAGTACAAATACAAAGTTCCGATGGTGCACACAACAAGGGCTCCATGATGCTAGTCCACATTTCAGATATCTGAGATAAGACCAGGCACAGGAACTGAAGATCTAGTACCCTTCTACTGAACCTCACCACCTCTTACTGCCTCACAAAAGGTGCTGAAAGGGACCTCTTTCTCCGTTTGTCACCTTGCCCGCATGATTCGTGAACACCTGTGAACCAGCTATAAAGAGTAAAGGTGCGCTTCCTTGTGTGCATATATATTTGTCAGCAGCAGGTTTGGACCTAGCCGTAATATCAAAGTGCAGCTTCACAGCAACTTGCTTACTAAACCACTGCAAAAACTGCAATATAATGCAAAGAAGTGGTCTGAAGTCTGATTTCCTCGAGAGGGAAATAGGCACCGAGTGATATCACAGGCATCTTGTACTGCTCCACTTTGTATCCCTGGATCAACGGCTACTTGGAGCTGGGTTCTTTCATCTTAATTATACAGTAAAAAGCTGTGGTTGAAATATTTTTCAGAGGCAGCATACACTCCACTATCATCAAGTCCATTTGTCTCTGACCAAAATTCCAGCAAAGCTTCCCAAGCTAACTAAGACAAGACATTCTTTCTGATTAAAAAAAGGATACATTCTATACAGAAGTTCTAAGGCATATGTTAAACTGTGCAGTCCGTGCCGGCTTTAAGCACGTTTCGGACTCAAGCACGCTAAACGGCTCTTACCGAAATTTTGCTATATAAATTACACGCCTTCAAGCATGCTTCATTGACAAGACAGTCAATATTTTCATGATGACCCATCGAAGATCGAACACAGTCTACACCGCAGCAGTGGAGTGTGTCAAGAGAAACACAAAGAACGCAAGTGATGGACACACACACTCACACGGGTGGAGAGGAAGGCAGATGCACACAGCCGCGCGCGCGGACATAGGATCTAGCCTAGGCCTAGGGCAAAGCTACACACGACCAAAAAAAATACAAAGAGAGTCGGGGAGACGAGAAAGGGAGGCTGGCTGCAATTTCCCCTTTGACCCTCGCTATCCATTAATCCTGATTGTGTATCACGTGCGAGGTGGGATGAAGGCGGTCGTATGAGTGGCACAGCGGGCAGTGGTACGCACAGGCAGTGTGTAGGCCTAGTGTGCTGTATCGTGACTGGCCGTCTAAAGTTTTCATTTCCCATTCGACCACAAAGCAAAAACAAACAAGCGAACAAAAACTACTATGGCGGGTGTCTAAATAACAGTGCACACTTTTGCGGGATCGCTATAGGCCTACTTACAAACAAAGGGAAATAGCACGAGAAATTTTCTACTTGAAAATCTCTGGATTATGTCTACTTCGCACTCAAGCACGCTTTGGCTTTAAGCACGCTTAAGCTTTCTCCCGATGACCGTGCTTTAAGCCGGCATGGACTGTACCAGCATGAGTCATAATTCTACAGCAATGTCTGCCCCACCTATTCAGTCACAAGTTAGACACAAGAGCAAAATGTAACCATAAATGAGCCTCTACCCCCACCCCTCCATCCAGTAAAAAAAATAATAAAAGTAAGCAGACAATACGAGAGGGCATACATACAACTCTCTCATTCTGTCCCACTGTGCTGGAAATGTGAAGACAAACCAAAATAACAACAGAGTTAAAATCCTTTTCCTTCCCAAACACAATCCTATAGAAAAATCTCCACAAAAGTTTGGCTCTTACTTACAACAACTCATGCAATATTCAAGACATCAGTCTCTGATATCTCAGTCATTCAAACAAAATAATAAAAAATCTGTTCGCTGAAGTAAAATACTGGATTTACCAAATGGGGAGCGCTGTGACCATCAGATGTCAAGATCAACCCAGCTGACTGAAAATGGCCCAAATATAAATGGGGTTTAAAAAAACCTTCCCTACATCATTTTAAGTGGGTGGCATAAACCGTGTCCATTACTCTCCTTCAAATAGGAACGAAATGCTCTCAACTGCCTCTCTTGACTGGAAAGAAACAAAAACAATGTTAAGCTGCACGTCATTTGGTGTCCCAATAGCCACCACACAGCCATGGATTTCGCCGCTGAAAGTCATGCAACAGGTATGAATAAGACTCTAGTACAGTGGAGTCCACTTATAACGAGTCCGGAAAAAACGAGAAGTCTGTTATAAAGACACTATTGGAAAACCCCGTTTTTTTCTCTTCTTTACCTCTGTATATAAAATACTGCTATAGCGCTATCAGACAAACATGAGAGTCGGTTATTGCGGATTATTGCGGCTGCTATGCACAGTGCATAGGCCAATTATACATAATGCGAAACCTCGCCTGTTGAGAAACTTGATGGTGATCTAGCGAAACAAAGAATGGGAGAGCCAATGTGTGTCAACAATGAAGGCCGGAGCGACTGAGTAGGGAGGATGTGGCTTGCGCAGACAAGCAGAACGCATCGCGTGATAGGCCAGTGTAAGCCTAGTTTAGATTATCAGGGCCTACCATGCCTCTCACTTCTCCTATGCGTGGATGGAGAGGTCACAGCAATGTGATGGATGAAGCGAATGTGTGATGTGCGCAAGCAGACGGAATGTACCACAGGGTGTGGTGGGGTGGGGGAAACACAGCGGGTCAGTTAGCCCAGAGCCCTTTCTTTCTGATCGCCAACACAGAGCTGCCAGTCAACATCGCTAGCGCTAGAAAAAGAAAACTGGTTCGATTTTTGATCAAGTAAGACCTAGAGGTCATGTTGAAACAAAATCATCACCAGGGGAGATAGTAAAAGAAAATATACAGAACGTCAAACTCATAGATTAGGCCTACTTTACAGTTTCCCTTGAATTTATAACTGGATCCCGTATAGCGAGAATCCTGCTATAACATACATTTTTCACCGATCCTCTCCCTCTCGTTATAACAGGATTCCACTGTAGCAGACGAGGAAACTAAAATCCTCAAGTCAAGTCTTTGAGTACATATTAAATTCTGTATATGAACATTTATGACAAGGGAGGTAATTATGCTTTTATAAGATGACCAAAGAAAAAGATTATGCCCGTTCTCAAAGTGACATTCCAGGCAATACAACTGATATTTTTCTCACAACTTCGGCCTCATTTGGACAGTCTGCAAAATGCAGTATTGTGAAGAGCAGGCATGTGGTTGTGACAGACTGCTGGTGGGATGTGTCGCCACTTTATCACGTACGGCACAGATTGGCGACCTACATATAAAATTGGAACCATTATCTCTTTTCCTGACTCACTGGCAAAGATCCATTATGTGATTCAATTTCCTTACTAAGGGATGAACGCAACTGCCTTGCCTCAAACAACACTGTGAGATTCTGAAGCTCTCTACAGCCCGTTGTTGATGTCCCTCTGAGATGGTCAATGCGCGATGCGATGAATTTTCCTGAAAAGAAACCTCTGAGAATGTTGGTGCACCGCATTCACACATTTTGTTGAGAACCTATCTCCGAGAATGTCTGTGCCCATCACAGCAAATTTTCTTGCCAAGGTAACAGCGTCCTGTGACACAGTCGGCAGTAAATCTGTTTTCATAGAAAAGTCGGTGTGCCCCACAACCAGTGTGACGTCTCTCGGCTATACCCCCGTCGAGCTGGAAGAAGCGGCAAACGCATGTAGATTACCCATCTGACTCAGGCCACTCTGGATGTGATTGATGTGAATCTCCACGTTGTTCTGAAAGACACTGAAACAGATCCAGGGAATACGGTTGTTAGTTTTTAAGTTCCTTTTTGTTTTAGTAGAGCTTTTACGGCGCTCGCAAATGCATACGGTCATACGAGCGCCAAGGGGGGATGTCAACAGAGAAGTCCTTACAGGGAATCAGACTTACTCTACTCACCTCTCTAGCTTCAACACCACAAAGTCTTCTTCGACTATCAAGGCACCCCGGAAATAGCGGGTCACAAGTAAGTGACAAACATACAAAAGAAGTACAGCAGTTCCCTGTTGCAGTTCAAGCACTATTATGAGCATGAAATAGATGAATCAGCCCTTACAATTCTTCTGTGCATAAGAACAGGTTAAAGTCCCCCCTTTGGGAATGGCCTAAAGACATTTCAGTCAGTTGCACCGCCCGGGGAGGGGGGGGGGGGTGTGTGTGAATATGGTTGTTTAGAGCTATTTCTGACTTAGTTTGAGTGAAAAGAACCAGTAATGGGAAAGAGCAAGACAGACAAAAACAAGAGAAGAAAAGTAAAGACAAAGGAGCTACCACTGGCACCCTCCAAACAGCTGTACTTACATGAACACACTAAAGAGTATTTAGGGCTACTTTTTTAAAAAGACAGTAACAACACAGGGATGCACAAGACAGTAGGACCCACTCATGGCACCCTTCTCCCAGATGAACAACATTCTTTGATTAAGTGTTGGAACAAACCATGTAAATATATACACATGACTGGTCAAAAATGAGTAAAAGATAACACAGAAGTCATCCAATAAACATGTTTGTACACTTTAGACAGACAGAAAGTATTTTATCTATAATACTATAAGATAATGTTGAGGGGCATTCCCCTTGCCTGCAATAATTAGTAGGCTACAATATTATTATAGTTAAAGCGAGAGAATCTTTTAGGATTTTCAAGACCAGATAAGACTCCTGGTCAATATAATGAAACCATGTAATCTCAAAAGTCAACTAAGTATTTTGTGAAACGCAACAAAAGAGCACAGTAAACCCATCACAGTGGGCAAATGCTGGTATCTGGTCAGACTGAATGCATAATAAAGAGCTCAAGAACTGATGAAACAAGGAGCATTTACCAAGAATCAGAAGATTTTTAATTTCCTTTTTAAAAACTTAAGGGAACATATCTATTTTAAACGTAGGTGTTTTTATGTCCCAATCAACACAATTTTAGATCATTTATGAGGAGGGCTACAGCCCTACCTGTCATAGCCAACATGGGCTGAGAGGGATACAACATCTCAGCAGAAAGACAGCTACTCGATAAAAATTTTCACCACATGGGAATAAAACTAGAGTCTTATAATGCATGCAAAAGCAAAGCCCCTAAACTGTAATACCACAGACGCCAGAATGGGAAGGCAGACTAGACATGTTCATAGTCAAAAGTGGGAAGTGGGGTATTAAGCCACAAAGGAAAGGGAAGGCTACCTGAAATCAAACACAAAGAAGAATGATCCCAAAGGAAAGGCAGCTGCTCACAGAACAAAACAAAAGACACCAAATCAGTCCTCAGCCTCAGCAAGACTACACATCAAGCCAAGTCCCTGGGTTGTCTGCCACACAGGCTCAACCATCCAATCAAAGCCCAGCTTGCTAGCTCACATGACCGGGATGAACCAGTCTATAAGCAGCTGGCCAGACTAACAGAAAAGAGGCTGAGCCTGCACTCTGTGCGCAAGGATGAACTCATCATTGGACTGACTAGTACCGTTAATTAAGATTAAATTTACACAGCGAGTTTGAGCTATAAAAGCCACAAGCAGATATATGGACAATTGAACACTGAAGAAAAGATTAAGGAACACACCACACCAGAGTGCCGCTCTGGACAGACTAACTACCAAAAAAAAAAAAAATCTTGTTTAACCCCCACCCGAAGTTGAAAAAAAATCTTCGTACAAGTTTAAGGCAAAGAAACTGATTTAATAATATTCATTTTATGTTAGGGGATAGCGAGGAAACAGTGAATACAAAAGAAGTGGGACCTGCTAACAGCACTTCTGCCTTTACTACATAAGACAAGCTAAAATCATCCCCAACACTACACGGCTTTTTTTTCTCCCCATGTCACTGTGCCTGTGTAAACATACTTTCATTTCATTACACACAACAGGCCTATACAGAAGTCAGTTCTACATTTGAGTGACGAGTCATATGTTGTGTAAAAGATCTTGGCAGAAATCTGGGTCTAGTAAGAATGATGGATCATTATAGCCAAGTAACAAAAATAATGGATCATTATAAAACCAAAACGATAAACAAGTGAATCAATGTCCAGTAGTTACCGGATGTTGTTGAACTGAAAGTTTACAGTGAGTCAACCGGATAACAGACACTGAAAAACAAGCAGAAACAGACCATACTAGAACCCCAATTAACCAATCAACCACAGATATTACAGAGAAGAACTCCTGGGATTTTAGCACAAGTACGTGCAAATACACGAGCATGCTAGAAGACACACAAACTCATGAAATAAAGTAAGACCTACTTTAAGTTGTTAGCGTCCAAACCACCTTTGATTGCTTGCAGACTGTCCTGAAGAGATCCGAATTCAAAGGAACTGTTCTCGTTTTCTGAAAAGGTCTGAGCAGGAAAAACAAGACAAAAAGAACAAAATTATTAGCAGCCAAGGCTACAAAAGAGGAAGTCACAGGGAAAAAGAAACTCTGCACTTACCTTCATAACATTTTTAAGCACCTCTTAAAGAACTGTTTGAGAAAGGCATGTGGCAAAATATTGTTCCAAGATCGTTTACAGTCCACTAAGTGTTACTAAATATCAACTCCTGCAGATGCCTGTTGAGTATTTGGGACCCATGTCTTTTCTACCTCTCAGTGCTTCAAAATACAACAATTATCATGAAAGACTCCTCAGTGCTTCAAGATACAAAAATTATCATGAAAGAACGACAAAACTCATAGTGTTAGTAACTGCTGTTATGTGGTACATTAAAGTAGTTACCGGTAATCGAGTTTTAAATAAAGCTTCTGCATAATAAAACCAACTAGCTCTTAAAATACTGGACATAATAGCTGAAGGCATCAGCTCTGACACTGCCACATAGACCACGTGTGACCCCATTCAACAAACACAGAAAGACTGCAAACAGCACTGAACTTATGGCATTTGTGTTCACATCTAATCAACATACAGTGGAATCCTGTTACAATGAGAGGGAGGGGACCGGTGCGAAATGGGCGTTATACCAGGATTCTCGTTATAAGGGATCCAGTAATAAATTCAAAGGAAATAATACAGTAGGCCTGATCTATGAGTTTGGTGTTCTGTTTATTTCTTTTTGTTATCTCCCCTGATGGTGATATTGTTCAACATGACCTCTTGATCTTCCTTGGTCAAAAATCTTATTGGGTTTCTATCTCTAGCGCTTGTAATGTTGACAGAAAGAGCTCTAGGCTAACTCGCCTGTTGTGTTGTTCCCCCCCCCCTCCCATACACACACCCTGTGGTGCCTTCCGTCTGCTTGCGCGCTTCACACATTCGCTCCATCCATCACAGCACTGTGACCTCTCCATCCCAGCATCGGAGAAGTGACAGGTATGGTAGTGGTAGGCCTAGATAATCTAGACTCGGCTGGTCTATCATGTGATGCATTCTGCTTGTCTGCATATACCACACCCTTCCCACTCATTCACTCCGGTCTTCATTGTTGGCACACACGGACTATCCCATTCTATGTTTCGTTCAAGGAGTTGATGTAAGGTCCTTGGTTTCGCTAGATCACCAACAAGTTTCTCAACTGGTGAGGTTTTATCATGTATAACTGGCATATGCGCTGTGCACAGTAGCAGCAGCAATGTTCCGCTATAACCAACTCGCATGTTTGTCTGATTGCGCTATAGCAGTATTTAATTTTAAAAGATAAAGAAGGGAACAAAAAAAGGGTTTTAGAATAGTGTCTTTATAACAGACTTCTCATTATTTCAGGACTCGTTATAAGCGGACTCCGCTGTACTTAAAACCACACACATTAAACATCATCAATGACTGCCAACAGGCAGCCACAAGTTGCCTCATCTTAGTGTGGTCATTTTAAGTATTTTATGACCCCAACCACACAATTTTTAGACCTGCATGTGAGCCTCATCAAGATCGTCTGAAAATTTTACTCACACCACACACCACTTCTCCCCTCCCCCCCAAAAAAAAAACAACCCATTCCTCCCACAAGAGCTTTTGTGTGTGTCAATAAAAAAGCAGCACTTGTAGGGGTACATGATGGGGGCATCAGCCCCCAAAAAAAACCTGTAAAGGCCCTTCAGAAAGGTAAAAAAGCCACCAAAAGTCAACAAAAACAAAAAAAAACCCACCCCCCAAAACAAACAAGTAGCATAATGGCCTACATTTGCTATAATAGGGTTTGATACAATAACACAAAAGAATTGGAATATGAATTGAATCCTCCATATAGTAATCTACATAAATCTAGATCTAGATCTTGTAGAAAAGTGAATAAGAATAGGCCTTGAACGAAATCCGCATCCGAACAAAGGAACTCAGCTGAGTCTAGAAATATTCTAGATCTAGAATCTATTAATTTACGCACCTGATGAAATGCACTTTTACCAACATTAACATTACAGCACAACCTATAAGAGGGTTTGACAAAATAGAATTGGAATATGGATCCTCCATAGAGGTCTATAGTTATCAATATATAAATCTAGATCTAGATCTAGTAGAACAAGCGAGTAGATCTTGACCTTGAATGAATCCACATTCGAACAATCAGTCAACAGACTAAATTCTAAACGGCCGCTTAAGCTTGAAACTGAAAGTAGATCTAATTTACGTCGTTGTCCTTTTTCATATTCGTATTTCTGCTCATGTTCCGACAATTATGTCGGAAATGCCGACGTCAGCAGTCAGCACGAAAACGAAAGTGCACACAAAGCCTACCAGAGAAAAAGGGGGCGCTGCCGATTGGCCAGGCCCCGCATGTTGTCTAATACAGGTGGGCTAGTGGGCTTAGCAGCCATAGCACCGCCCAGGTCGCCGGTCGGTCGCAATTGTCAAATTTCAGACAACTGTCGGAAAACAGGCAGGTCTAAATTTCGATCATTCGGGAAACAGGCTGCTTGACCCTGCCTGTTATGGCCAACCTCAACTGAAAAAGATATAGCAGTCTAGCAGACAGACAGAGAAGAGAAACCCCATAGACCCCCCTTCTTCTGCATGAAACATCACACCACAAAGCTAGTAAGAGGGTGTAGATTGACAGTCATAATGGAAAGATTTTGAACACTGACTGCTCCAGCCAGAAAAGGTTGAGAGAACACAAATACAGGACTATAGACTATCATGTGGACCATACAGTGGCCATGCTTCTGGTGTCCTGTACATTCTATTCAGCTTCTGACAACCACCAATTTTGCTGTAAGGTTCTTGGGAAAGGCACTAAACACAAATTTTCCTCACTTTATCCAGGTGGGAATGGGCCCTTAGTTGTAGACAGCAAAAGACCTTGTCAGTTTATTATCGGCACTTTATTAGCTGCAAGTACTGTATACTTCTAAGCAGGCAAAAAAAGTTTCAGGGTGTTCTAGGGCCTGCTGGGGTATAATAATAATAGCTGTAAAGCACACCGAGCATACTGTAGAGCATTATCATTATTGTTTTTATTATCATTGCAACAATTTTTTGTTACTATTATTATTATTATAAATACTATTATTATTATCATTATTAGGTTCAATATTAGCTCCACTCACCCTGATCTGAAGCATTATAGAGGTCAAGTCCGACACAAGCTTGAGCACCCGTTCATTGTTAGCCGTTCTTCTATTTTGTAACATTCCCTGTAGTGGACAAAAGAAGAAAACCTTTTTTAAAAAAAAGAAAGAGAAATAAAAGACAACTTCACCGATTTCCATTGAAAGATTTGATTAAAAAATCAATGCCCTGTATAACACTCAACATAATATAATGTCAAAACAAACAACAACCTCAACAAGTAGAGCGCCATTAACATTAGCCACAGAGCAGCCTCAAACTACACACCTGGTGCTGATCTGTCTGCCCCAGTGACGGCCCATCTGAAAGCTCCTCCTCCCCACTAGTTCAATGTTCTTTATGATTTGTAATAACTAAGCATCCCATTGCTGACACTGATAGGTTGATGAAAAAAATTATTTGAGTTACCAAAACTCCAGAACACAGTTGATGATATGTAAATTCTAAAGACCAACAGACACTTTCTGAGACAGACAGAAAAGTGTGCATGGACTACTGGCTTAGCTATTTATTGTCAGTTCTCTGAGAAAAAAAAAAGCTCCAAAAGGTCATTCAACCCCATTTTGATGTAAAGACCAATTTGGATGGTCTTTTTTCTTTTGACTGACTTTTATTGTCATAATTCAATAACATTAGAAACCTGGAGAACAAGATTCTTATGAGAGCAGCACTAAGACACAAAAGGAGCAAGAGGTCAACACCAAACACACCCTGCATATCCTTGCTACCGTCTCCTCTGCTTCAGTGTCACACTTCCTCTTGATCTCGGACGGTGGTTCTGCTGGGGTCACACCCTGGTCAGGGGAGATCTGTGATAGAAATAAGGAGGAGAATGAACAATTTTTTTCTCTCTCATTTTTTCTGAAAAAAAAATTTCAGTGCTATAAATTTTTTGTAGGAACAATAGCTTCTAGAAGCTGTAATAATGTTAGCTTCATTAATCAACTCCAGTAAGCAATAAGCAAGTGGTGAGAAAGTGCAGGCTCACAACAATGTCAAGTATGAGTCTGTGACACAGTGTTGGGGGGGGGGGGGGGTGTTGTAATCTTGAGGACCCTTGCTGCACAGTAGTAATCAACAATGGTGTTTTCAATGTCTCTGCCTTTCTTCTTTTTGGTAAAAGTACAGTACTTCTTCTTTTTTCCTTCGTCTGGTACCCTTAGGATGACGAAGAGTACTTTACAGTAAATGCATGTATGAACAGATCAAATTCACACAGAAGTAGTGTTAAAAATGGCACTTGATCTTCACCATGAATGCAGACCTGTTGATCAGAGACCTTTCCTACTGTCTAGTACACTAAACAACAAAATATCTAACGAAGATATGTGCATTCCCCAGGGGAACTTTCTAAGACTGTATATATAATAGAAAAACATACAATAATACTTGCATTTATACAGCAAATATCCATGCTCTACAGCATGCTCTAGGCACTTTAAAACTGTTGTCACCCCCGCAGACCCTGGAACACTCAAAACTATTCTTGGCTTCCCTAGAAGCATACAGTGCAAGCAGCGAATTAAGCACTTATACACTACTAAACTGAAAAGATCTTTCATCAATTATAGCTGGGTATCCATTCCCACCTGAATGAAGTGACGAAGATTTTTTAATTATTTATATTATAGTAGAGGGTTTTACGGCATTTGCAACTGCATAAGGTCATATGAGCACGAAGGGGTGGGTGTCAACAGAGAAGTCTTTACAGGGAATCTGACTTACTCTGCTCACCTCTCTAGCTTCAACAGCACAAGGTCTGCTTCAACTATCAAGGCACCCCGGAAATAGCAGGTCACAAGAGTGACAAACATATAAAAGAAGTAGAGGAAAATGACAATAGTAAGGATTAGGAAAGAAAAGGCAGCAGTTCCCTGTTGTAGTTCAGGCAGTTATGAGCATGACATTGTCGGATCAGCCCATTTACAATTCTACTGTGCATTAGAACGAGAAATGTCCCCCCTTTGGGAATGGCCTAAAGACACTTCAGTCAGTGGCACTGGCCCACGTGAAACGTACTCTCGGACCAGAAACAGCCGCACGAACATCATAATTGCGACCGCTGACCTATCCGATTTGGTTTTCAAATATTCAAGAACTTTATGCATTTTCCCAGGGCAGTTCACAGATTTCCTCATACTCCCGGGTCTAGCAGGTTCTTATAACATTAAACTATTGTCGACTGAATTACCGTAAATATCTCTAACTTAAACAAGACGAAACGATGGCGAGTACGGATTCTTTGCTCAGGAATTTCAGTAGCCCTATGCTATCGCACTTTTTTTACGGATGGAGTTTGTGTGGTTATCAGGGACAGCCTTGCTCAAAATCAGGGACACTGAGTAATTATCAGGGACACCTTGTATTTGTCAAGAAAAACTTGCTGCCTTTTCGGTTTCTTTGCTTTACTTGGTCCAGAGTCGAACTTAGAACTCATCGCCGAACGTTTTGACGCCATTTTTTCAAACGAATGAAGAAGCCGAGAGCCGCGCATGCGTATCAGCTGACTTTGTCGAAACTGCACACCTCCCAACTCTCCCGAATTTTTCGGGAATCTCCCGAATTTTTCGGGAATCTCCCGCATTTTCGTCATTTTCCCGAGCAACAGAAGGGTAATTTTTTTGTTTTAGAAGTATGCTTGCCAATTTTTTTTTCCAGGACGGTCGGTCAAAATCCGCATTTCCGGGACAACAGCGATTTTTTCAAGAAAATCCGTACAAAATACGGATGGCCCGGGACAGTGGGCAGCTATGCAGAAAGTATGGATTTACGTACAAATACGGAAGATTGGAAGCACTGCACTTTGTAAGCATTCTCATTTCCCGCAGAAGCCTTCTCAATAAACACTGAACTCTCTAACATGAACTATATTCAGCAACCAAAAAGACCAGTAATGGTCTTCCAACCGCCCGATGATCAATCAATACGCTTTGTCCTTTCAAAAAAAGGAAAAACAGCAACAATCCTTGACAACACACTCACATCTTGACAATATGTCTGCACACCATTGAGATATTCATTCAGATCCTTGTTCAATTTCTCTAATTCCACAACGATGCCAGCATAAGTTTTCTGGAATGCTAGAGAAATAGGCTCTTGAAATGATCTCTGAAATGAAAAAAAGAAAGAATATCTATATTTCTAAACAACCATCAAAATTCTTTCACCTGAAAAAGTATCAAATTTCACTCTTACTAATCCATTCAAATATACAAGGGTCATTATACATATATCACATGCCCCCTTCAAACACATGCATGATATGCACACACAAAACTAATTACAAAACGTAATTTAATTCTCTCACTCTCAACCTCCTTTATATCTGCTCATTATATCCTATATACAAAAACTAAAGAAAAGTCCTCAGCCTCAGCAAGACTACACATCAAGCCAAGTCCCTGGGTTGTCTGCCACACAGGCTCAACCACCTAATCAAAGTCAAGCCTGCCACCTTCTATGACCAGGATGAACCAATCAACAGGCAGCTGGTTGGACTAACAGAAAAGAGGCGGAGCCTGCACTCTGTGCGCAAGGATGAGCTCATCATAGGACTGATCAGTAGCTAAGTTGAAATTTAGATGAAATTAGCGCAATAACATCCATATTTCACCAAGAGTAGTAGGAGGATACCATACCACACAAGAGTGACAGCCAACCCCTAGCATAGCAACTACAGAGTGCCCAGCAATATTTCCTATAAAAATTTACTGCCGGGAAAAAATTTACTACCCAGCAAATCAAGCCCCACACCACCTCGAAAAAGGGAGTTCATCTGCGACACCAATAACATTATATTATTATTACATAATATTTGGAACGAAAACAACACACAACAAAGTCCAGTCGATAAAATGGAGGATAGACAGACGATAAAAAGCTTGGTCGCAGCTAGATTTAGTTTTAGTAAGGTTTTTACAGCACTCGCAACTGCAAAGGTCATATGAGTGACAAGGGATGGAGGTCAACAGAGAAGTCCAAATGGGGAATTAAGCTTCGACTATCAAGGCACTCCGGAAATAGTAGTTCACAAGAGCGACAAACATACAAAAGAAGTAGAGAAAAAGATGACGATAGCAAAAAAATGGACGGAAAAAGTAGCAGTTCCCCCTATGTTGGTCTAGCACAGAATGAGCACGACATTGATAAATCAGCCCATATTTAGAATTCTACTGTGCATAAGAACAGGTTAATATCCTCCCTTTGGGAATGGCCTAAAGACGCTTCAGTCAGTAGCACTACCCTGGTGGTGGTAGGAGGGGGAAGTGGGGTAGATTTAGACCTAATGTGTACACACAAGGGGACTGCCAAACTGGCTTCTCAATTTTCCAGGGGAGTCATCCATTTTCCAAGGCCATGTTAAATAACATGCTGCTCTAAACGCCAGATGGCGTAATGGGTAGTAAGTAAGTAAGTTACATTAACAAAACAGACAGACACACACGTAAAATATATCCAGTCAACAACATGTCAGTGTCGAACTGGGGTTTTCTTTGACTGAAGTATTTCAGTCTGTCATAATATTTTCCTCTCATTATTATATATTTTTAACAATGAATCCTGCTTTGAGCGTGGGGGGGGGCCTTGAACAAGAATTTCAAGAACCAGTCTAGGTGTCACGACTCATATTATGAATGTAAAAGACAAGAATTATTACTCAAACTAAAAGTAAAGCAATAACTTGACTGGCTCAAGTAGACCTATTCAAAGTGAGAGGTGTAAGAACTGTGGGATGGCAAGAGGCAGTGACATTGAAAATCTGCCAGTCTTGAACAGAAACATACAATATTGTTCTAATTTACTGTCACCCAACCAATGAAATGTGAACACTTTATTTCAATAACACGGCTTACAAAGTATGAAGGATCCCAATTCAACAAAAGGCCTGCACCAATGCACGCTTCGCAGAGGGCTCTAAATCTAATCAAAATTCTGAAATTTGCTTACAAGTTTTTGTCCTCTGGTGTTGCCCTCAGCCCCTCCCCCCTCTCCTGAGTGTATCTCTAAAAAAAATCAATAATCCCTGCCCCATAGTCCTAGATCTATACTTCACAATACTCAGACTTTTTAATGAACTCTGACGACCCCAACAAACGCCGGTGCTCACCGATGCCGTATTTTTATGGCGCCTCGTGCGAAGGTTCACTGACCGGTCACGATGGCGAACCCGGCAATCTAAAAATCGGAAAATCTTTTTATTTTATTTTCACCCCCCACACATACACACACACAAATGACAGCACGGTGACGAGTCCAAGTAATGATTAATTATTTGCACGGCGACACAGCGTTTATACTGTACAACCTGCATGTTACAAGTGGTGCGTTATCAGTCTATCGTAGGCAAATTTCTGGGTGGTAACGAAAGCAAAAGTAAAGCTTGATTTTCCCGATCAAGCCTCGGTATCACATACACTTCCGCCTGCCGCCACAGCCCAAGTCGCCTTTTCGCGAGAAACGTGCTCTCAGACGCGGAAAAGGTGAACGAATATTATATCACAATCGCGACCGGCAAAAACAAAGTCATGCAGTGAAGGCTATGGTTCACTGAAAAGTCTTGCTGGCTTCATCACTCAGTATGCTGGCTTATTTACGACGGTTTACCAAATGTTTACTACCTTCCAGGCAAATTTACGACCTTTACAACCAGGGCATCGAATTTATGACTTTTTCGCCATTTTACGACCTTGCTGGACACCCTGAACTACTGCCAGTACTATCAACCACAAGGAACAAATTCACTGGCAACATTTTTCTCATTTTTAAAAAAACTCAAAAGCTCCACCATTTTTAACTAACTTGACAGAAAATTCCCAGCACCAAAACAATCAGTATATCAGTTAACCATGTTTTAAAAACGGTTCTGAACAACACATAAATCACTCACCTTTTTCTCTGTAGTTGTATTCATATCACTAAGCTGCTTTATCCACTCTTTTTTAACTTGCAATATTTTAGACAATCTTGTCTGAAAACAAATAAAAATTGATTTAGTCATTATGGAGGCATAAACAGACATCATGCTCATTGCAATATACAATATATATAAAAACACCAAAGAAAATGTCAAAGTTAGAGGCCATAACATCCACATAAGTGACAAAGTTGGTACTCAGACCTGCCACTCCATGAAATCTAAAAAACAGGATTTTAGAGTTAAAAAATCAGGATCTAGTGAAAAAAATCGGGATCAACGGCAAATCAGTCATAAGGGGAACTGTGGAAAAGGGGGTGGGGGTGGTCCCGGTTCTTTATGAGGCGAGTATGCAAGACAAAGCTTTTTGAAAACTGAAAGACAGCATTATTATATGAACTCAAATCGGAGTTGGATAGACTGGGGGAGCGCAGGTTGCACTAAAGCTGAAACTCTCGTAGTCTTGAAAATAGCTGACACATAACTCTAATCATCCAGGGGAAAAGTCCGCGTTTTCATACAGTAACGTTTGACTTCCATCGCAAATACACTCAAGGTATCCCCCCCCCCCCCTGGAAAAAAGATCGCGCCAAGGTTGTTCATTTATTTTTTTCTTATTCCTTTTCCCTCAATTAGATCTAGTACCTGTATCACGGCACGCACTTTAAGCCCAAAAACGGTCATGAAATAAGTAACAGCAACAAAGTTAAAAGATGTCGGCGTAGTTCTCGACCACAACCTCTCCATGTCCTACATAAGTCAGCTTTGTAAAAAAAAATTCAGGAAAATTGGAAGCATATCTTCAGGAACATGATCAACTATATTCATAAAAACAGGATACCAAAATTCTGACCAAACACATAAGACATGTATGGAAGTGTCAGTCTCAAAACTTATTTAAAAAATAGGCCTTCATTTTCACACTACAAAATAGTAATCAGGTCATCTCGTTAATACAGGAATAACTTACCACCAGAACTAAAAACTTGATAGGGAAACCTCCATATGTTCCACCTTCCAGACTCACTAGCTTCCCTTTAAACGGTGAATGCGTCTCCATGCCTTCAAAACCAAGCTGCGAAGACAGATAAAATGGAATGGTGAAAAAAAATTCATCTAATGATCACTAGGGCATATACTCTATATTTTGTTTGTTCTAAGCAAGGTGACTGGCAAATTCAACTCTTTCTTAAGAAAATGTGAAATAACCAGAAAATATGATCGAGAAAGATAGAGATGAAAGACTGGAAGAACAGTAGGATCAAAGTCCAACTGCCTGCATTGGAGTTATCCCTTCCGATAAACACAGCACGACAAAGGATAAAACAATTTCATAGCAAATGTTTGCTGTTTAAGAACTGTACAGCTTTTCCTGAGTTCATCATTCGAGCTCACTATCATCTCAGCAAAGAGCCCCAAGAGGCAAGCAACAAAATTTCCCTTGCAGCTCAGCAAACTGAAAGGTACTGAAGGGTGTTACAAGCCTAAGTATCTCAATGAAAAAGTAACTTACAAAGAAAGAAAAATTCATTTCTAACCTTGAGTGTCTAAACAACAAGAACTGTTGGTGCCCATATCACTTGGATCTCTTCATGATTATCTTCAAAATGAAGAATTCTCTAAGCAAGAGTTTTACAGCATTTACAACATAAATAGGTTGTGTAAGTGCCAAAGATTAAAGGTTTTACTACAGATTTACATTTTTTTTAAACATGGAGGAGAGATAAGGATGATAGGTTTGGATAGAAAAGAAGGAGCAAACCAAAGCACACTCACCAACTGCTCATCTTCATTATGAGAAAAATATCTCAATGACACAAGCAATGCGACAACACTAAGAAAAAGAAAGTTCTTTATTAAACTTACAGATTTGAAAGGTCGTATACACACATCTCCACCGGAAGTCTGAGGAAAACATATTTGTACGATTTAAAAGAGAAATTCTGTACACATAACAACCTCATGAACAGCCGCACCTTTTAAACAATAGAGAATTTAGCATTGCACCATTAATTGATTTTTTTTTAAAGCTCCACTGCTAGAAACAAAAAATAAATAGGAAATAGTTGCTCACTGAAGTGTGCAGCATTTCCCGAGGGTGAAGATATATTTTTTAAAGTAATATTCACTACTATCCCCCCCCCCCCCCCCAAAAAAAAAAAAAGAAAAAGAAAAGAAAAGCCAAAAAACCCCCCCCCACCTCCTTATTCAGAAAAAGAAGAGCCAGTTCAACAACTGTAGATTCCTGAGCCAATTGAACAACCGTTGGTATCCTGACTTATTCACAAAAAACAGCAGAAATGAGATCCACACATGAACACAATGGTAACATCACAACAAACAGTCTTATTCACCACTTAACTTTCTTCAATAAAAAAAATAAGCTCAGCTTAATCCAAATCGCTTTCATCAACACATCTGGACCACTGCTTTAGTGTCAGAGTCTTGAAAAATCAGCTGGGGCAACAATCCCTCTTCTAATCAATAAAAGAATGATAGCAATGGAATAAACAACCAAACTTATTTAATGCATTCTCATTTCAATGTTTCATAATCCCCACAACATAACATAAACAAGCAAAAACATGTCAAACACAGAAATCAACAAACATATATAATTCACCCGACTCACAAATGATGCATTTGACCCCGTCACAACTCCAGGGACAAATTTAGGCACTGTGTTAATTTGCTTGATGGGCTGGCGTTTGGGCTTCTCTTGAAATGCTGAGATGGAAATGCTGTCTGGGGGTTCATCACTCTGAAAACAAATGGAATATTTATGGGTTACGGAATGCCTGGTGAAATCTAAAGAAGGTTGACACCAGTGCATTTGTTCACAAAAGTTCTCATTTGAAACATAAAATGATGAGACCAAATAGGCATGCAGGGATTCAAACAATGCTCACTGACAATCCTTTTAAGGCCAACCATAACTGAATTATTCACATCCCCAGGGCAGTGCTACTGACTGAAGTGTCTTTAGGCCATTCCCAAAGGGGGATATTAACATGTTCTTATGCACAGTAGAATTGTAAATGGGCTGATTTATCAATGTCATGCTCATACTGTATAGGAACAACATAGAGGGGGAACTGCTGCTTTTTCTTTCCTCTTCTTTACTATCGTCATTTTTTTCTCTACTTCTTTTGTATGTTTGACACTCTCTTGTGAACAGCTATTTTCAGGGTGCCTCGATAGTCGAAGCAGACTTTGTGCTGTTGACTTCTCTGTTGACATCCATCCCTTGGTGCTCATATCACCTTATGCAGTTGTAAGCGCCGTAAAACCTTACTAAAACAACAAATAATTCACAGACCAATTCATAGTTAAAGTGTGAATGACACAACACAAACATTTAGAAAGAAGACAAGACAAATTTGGAAATGTTAATAAATCATCTCGACCAGCAGATACCACAAAAAAAAAGTCAAAAACATTCCCATGGTGGGTTCTAGTTCTACAACTAATAAGTACTCCAAACAATTGCAGCTCGGTGAGAAGTCAATAGGGGCTAGCTGTAGAAGTCCTTTCATCAATTAACCATCAGTCAGATGAGGCTTCACTATTGTCAACCCGACATCCTTTGAAACTTCTAACCTTCTGCTAACAGTGGTCAGACTTAAATGACTCACCAAAACTTCATAGTCTGGTATTGAGTGTGTTCCCAGCCCAGGGCGGTCAAAGTCCACTCTGTAGGAGTTATCAGCCGTATCCAGAGCAGCTATTGTGCCTGTAAACAACCCGTCTTGAGGCTTGCGTAATCTCGCTGAAAAGGCATTTTAAAAAGAGTAGCATTACAAAATTCTGAACCGTTGTTTCAATCAGCCATTTCTGGAGAACAAGACACCCATTCAACGCTTTTATTTCATTCTTATAGAAAAAATGGTGATCAGAAGTCACACAATTACCAGGCCATGATGTGGAGACCTTGTTCTAGCTAAGCAGCTTACAGAGACGACGCAAAAAAAAACACATCTCACCACAGACTTAGACAAAATACCGAACAGAGACAAAATCTAAGCAAACCACACCCGCTACTAAGCCAAGAAGTAGACTGGCCAGTTTTCAAGGAAACAATAGGTACGTGTAGCAGACGGAATCACTAAATCAACCAGAGGGGTGTGTTTGGTTCAAACACCATTGAAAGAAAAGGATTTTTTTTTAAATTTCAATCATCAAGAACTCATCAAAACAGTATCGCAAATGTATTCTTACCTGTGACCTTTGTGCCAATGACAAGGTGCAATGGAATTTCATTTGGAAGCTCTTTGATGGAATTAAATTCTGTAGTTTTTCGTTGCTGAAGCTGCCTTATCTTTTCCCTTCTCTCCTCCAGCACTGCTCTCTCTTCTGCTAAAAACGCTGGAGAACATCTGAAAAATAAATAACACAGGCATAAAAAGTTGAACCTAATTTGCCCACTAATCAACACAATATTTTCTTTTAAAAAACCATACACCAACATTAACCCTTTGATACTTTTCTACAGCTCATTTAAGTGTTGATCTTATCTATTTATCTCATTGGGTTTTTTTGTAATATCAATATGCTGGTGTATATTGATGATGCTGTTTCATATTTTTCTTTTTCTGTAAACACACATCAATTTAGGTGCGTGTGTGTCATGCCGATATTTCTGTACTCCAGGGTATCTGCCGTGTTGCGTTCATAACAAATTTCGGTACAGAGGGTTCAAAGGGTTAGAATTCAGAACACGCAGATTTGCCTAATATAGAACAGTTATGCAAAGGCACTTTTCTTCCTAATCAACATTTAACTTCTGCACATTTATACTTTTACAGAACTACACATGTACCCACCTTCTTGGTTTTCCCATAAGTCTGCGTATCTTGTTCCACTCCACTCGCCTAAGCTTTTTACACTTGAGCTGGGGGAATGATTCTCTTAGACAAATGCAAAAATCATTTTCTCCAAGGAACAGTGGGCTGTGGACACAAATAAGAACCAGTCATAGCAAGAGCAGTGAACCTACTGGACTACCTCTTTATTCTTTCCTGTGGGTAAATAAGCCCATTCCCAGCTACAGAAGCTTTTCCTTCTTCAAATATCTTATCCAGTCTTTAAGGTGCTTTGGTTGGTTTGAGTAAAGAGAAGGACATCGAATCAATAATAGTCATTCAATTCAGAAGGAAATGAAAAAAGCACAATCTACCAAGGGCACATTCCAACTATCCACTTATCCAAATCAGACTTCAACAATTCTCAATACTACTCACAATACATATGAGAACGGGGCTGTTAACAAATCTTGCGCTCTCTTAAACAATTCAGACTCACAGTCAATTAGAAAAGAAGAACTAACAAAGCTCACAACACCATTCTATAATAAAATTATAAGCCCTGTGGATTAAAAAAATAAGACTGAAACACTGTTCAAAAAGTCCTACCTATTGATACACTCCTCACAAACAACATAAGCTGTAGTATATAATCATTAATCCTTTCAGATTGAAGGCTTGCAGGGGAAGTTTTTCAAATCAGTTCTTTTGTCTCAGTCTGTCTCTACCAAAAATAATAATAAATAGCAGTTGTATAGCACATGTCCCCACTCGAAAGCAAGCTCTGTGCGCTTTGCACTATATTATTACCCCAGTAGACCACAGAACAATCAGAAACATTCTCAGCTTCCCGCGAAGAATGCAGTACAAGCAGCTGGTTAAGCGCTCAAACACTAACAAACTGACAAAGGCCAAGCACACCAGTTTCCAGCTAAGTGAAATAAAGAACTATAAAAAGAATAACAACGCAAAATTTTCTCCATTAGTTGAAAACCAAACCAAGGTATTTCGACACCTAACTACTAGACTAAGAAACCCTCACATAGAAAACAGGTGAAGCCAGGACAAACAAGAACAACAAAGGATAAATATCTGAAAGTTTACGACACATTTCACTCACGCATCAATGTTGGAGTAGAACCATTCATAGCACACCCATTTGTGAGCTTTAGGCAACTTGAGCAGATTCCTCAGTCGCATCCCTGTGGCTTGAGCAGCTCTTTTGTCCAACCCTGCAGACACTGGGGCTGGTCTAACTGGGGCAGGCTGACAGAGAATGAACAATGGTTTTGTTGACATTTACTTGTTTCTTTGAGTAAAGAGAAGCACATTGTCAAAATAACCATCATTTAGAGAAAGGATGAGTAGACAGATAAAAAGAGACAAAAGTAGGAAAGAAAAGAAGGGTAGGACCTATCAATAGCATCCTCCAATCAGGCCATCCCATCAGTAAAGCATCAATTTTTTTTACATTTGAGTGCTCTATACATCCAGCCCTACATACGAGTTATGAATTGGATAGCAACAAAAGATGCCCTCAGCACAACACTGACTTCATACACCTCAAGACAACTCCACAGGGCACAGAATCAGTGCCTTGCTTACAACAGGAATTGTCCTTGAACTGAGCCGAGACACACCTTATGTTGGCCTAAATAAACTTAAGTGTTAATGTTTTAGCAATGGAAAAGTCTCCGAGTACTACAGAATATTATTTGAATCTGTGCATTACCCAAATGTTTATCTTCAAGGCAAGATGTGCACAACACTATCTGAACCACTTACTGCTGGAGGCTGAACAGCTCTTCTTTTGGGAGTCCTTGACACTTGGTAATCAGTTTCTTCATCATCATTGAAAAACCTAGCATTCTTTTTCCTGATTCTGCTTGGCTGTAAGGCAAAACACAATAGATTCAAGTCTTTACAAAATATAAATGGTGGAAGGCAGGAATTGTAACTTTGAAATCCTTTTTTAAAAACCTTATTCTTATTTGTACACATGCAGTTCAGAATATACACAAACAGGATATACTTTGGTACAGGATCAAAACTAGAAACACACATCAGCTGCATTGCATAAAGGGGGAGACACTTTACAATGAATAAATACTTCCCACATTACATCAGAGCAATGGTCCCTGCATAAAAAAGAAGACACAATTAAATACTTCCCGTACCAGATTCAAACTTATGTGTCCAGTGAAAAGCTTAACCATTACTCTACAGCTGTTCATAATTTTCAGAATAAACAGGAAAGCACAACAAGCATTTCAATAATCTGAAATTTACGAGATTTCAAGAGTTATGTCAAAGACTCCAGCTCATAGAAAGATTAAGGGTGCTAACAAGAAAATTACATTACTACTTACGTAATGCCCAATTCTCTGTGGTGAACCCAACCCTGAAAGAAAACGAGAAGAAATATCAGTATAATAAAGAGACTGAAGAAAGGAGCTGAGCAGGCAGGTGTGTATTCTTTTGTGCTTGTGTGTGTGTTTATGTGGTGTGTGTGTGTGTGTGTGTGTGTGTGTGTGTGTGCATTTGTGTGTGTGTGTGCGTTTGTGTGTGTGCATGCGTGTGCATGAGTAAAGATACAAGACTTGTAAACCTTTGCGGACAAGTAGACAACATACCACTTGTTTTTAATTCACATACTTATCAAACACCATAAAAATCTTCAGGGGGCTCTCGTGGCCTAGAGGTTAAGGTGTTGGCCTCTCATTCAAAGGTCCCGAGTTCGAATCCGGGTAGCGACCAAAAAATTTTCTTCTCTAAAATTGTCTCCTTTCCTGCTCTCTAGCAATGTTCTGTTGTCTGCTTTCATTTCCACTTTCTGCCCCCCACCCCCTCACCTCCTTTGTTCCCTCCTCTGGGCTCCTGACTCTTTCTGCAGCCTTTCTACTGTTACTCCTTGGCTCCTCCTTACTGCTGTCTTTCTGCCACACCCCTGATCTTCTGGTAGGAAAGATCTACACCTAGCCTTCTCGGACAAGGGCGAAAAATCTCGGAGGGCCCGTGTGCAAGTTGCGCACGTTAAAGATCCCTCGGTGGTCTAAAATCGATAAGAGTAGGCTTCGGCCGCCACCCGAGCAAAATTCAAAATTTCCTACCAACTGAAAATATTAGGTGTGTCCCACGCGCTCATATGACCTTATGCAGTTGCGAGCGCCGTAAAACACTTTACAAAACAAAAAAACAAAAAAAATCTTCCCAGAAACCCTGAAGCGTGGTCAATAAAAATTTATATTAGAACATTCAACCATGATCAGACACAATGAAACGAAGATAATAATGATCAAGATTAATCCTTTATCCCATCCAGCCCCATGCGCATATATTTTCAGCAGCGCTTGTACAGGTTCTCACCGTCCCAAAAGCGTATATTCTCAGTTTCGGGGGCTACCGAATTTTCGCATTTTTCGAAATAAGCCAACCCTCTTAAACTTTAATCTTCATAATAATTGTTCAATTACCTTTGAAGATTACATGTTATTATCTAAACCTCATTGCAAAGACACTACCGGTACATCATTTTCATGAATGCATGTCTCTTTTTCTGAAATACTGCTGTATTGGCTGGGACTGGGGTTAGGGAGTGCACAAAAATGGCTGGCGCTGGAAGGGTTAATAGTTAATAGGGCCACTCTACATTTTGCACCTCCGATTACTGTAAAAATAAAAGTTGTAACACTTACATCTGATATATATATAATACTATTTTTTAATACCCCCTTTACTACCCATCCCACCACCCATATTCAAACTTCAGGAAACAATAATAATCCTTACCTTCTTTGAGACTGACCAATGCTTGAGCAGAACCTGCGCAAAAAGTTCAACAAATCAACAAAGAGTTAGTTACCTTAGTAATTTTGCATCATTCATCATCCTCGTTAGAATCAATGTCAATACAGGGAAAGGGCAAAAACACTTTCCAATTTGTCAACACAGAAAAAAATAATACTGCTTAAGTGTATAACTCTTTCTGAACTTTCAGATAAAGTTAAGTATCCTAAATCACCTAGAGGTTGGAAAAGAAACTAATCATAAAAAGAAAAGAAGGCGAGATATGTAGTACACCAGAGCATCAGCCAATCACCCACAAGGAGGAAGTAAAGAAAAATTATCTTTTAGTTTAGTTATATCATAATTATAAGAGTTTTTCAGCACTTGCAACACAAAAAGGTCATAAGTGCCGAAGAATACCAGAGCACCCACCAACCACCCACGAGAAAATGTTCTACAAAGAGGAAAAATCACCAATTCTCATTTCATATTGTTTATCTAAGGATTTATGAGACTACTTGCAATTGTCCACAGAGCAAGAAAAACAATTAACATCAGACCACTTTTTGTATATGATACTAATTATGTCAAGAATTTGAGCTTACAGAGTTATTAACTGGTCAAGAGTCAAGCTACAGGAGCAGAAGAGTCAGGAGAAATTATTTAGGGAAAAAGAAATCGAACCAAACAAAACCGAGATTCTCCAATGGGCACCATTGACATTGCCTCCTTTTAATATAGGGAGTGTATACAGACCCGGTAACCGGGAACTAAGTCACGAAGTATACAGACCCGGTAGGGGAACTCTTTTGTGAATTCGGAAAGTTTCAGCGCCCTCTTGGCTCAGGTTAGACCTAGACCTAGGTTCTTCTAGATCTAGATCTATGGCCTAGGTCTAGATAGACAGACATAAATCATTGATCTAGTTTCGAGGTTAGCCTAGATCACTAGATCTAGATATCTAGATCTAGATCTAGATCTCTAGACCTAAATGAAGATTGCGGATGTCTTTTCGATGAACGATCGTTTTTCCTCCGTTTTTTGGACTTGGAGGAATCACAATTTGAAGAAAAGAACAGTGTCATAATTTCAATCGAGCAGTCTCTCTCTCTACTCTCTCTCTCTCTCTCTCTGTATCGCTCGCATTCTCTTTTTCTTTGTTTGTCTCTGTCTTTCTTTCTCCCCACCTATATTTTTCTCGTTCCCTCATGTTACCTGGGGCATGTCATATTTTGCTAGCACTTTCCCCTGCTCTCTCTCTCTCTCTCTCTCTCTCTCTCTCTCTCTCTCTCTCTCTCTCTCCTCACACACACACACACACACACACACATACACACACACACACACACACACTACCACCGGGTCTGGGCGCTGAAACTTTCCGACCTCACAAAAGAGTTCCCCTACCGGGTCTGTATACTTCGTGACTTTGTTCCCGTTTACCGGGTCTGTATACACTTCGTTTAATATAATAGGAGGGTAATCCCTTTCCCCATGGCCTCCATGATCATCAATGCCAATCTGTTGGACAATCCAATCTGGGCAGAGTTAGTCAGGGGCGTGGGCTTTTTTTTTGTTTTAAAGTAGGTTTTACGGCACTCGCAACTGCACATGGTCATATGAGCACCAAGGGGTGAGTGTCAACAGAGAAGTCTTTACAGGGAATCCTTTTTACTCTGCTCACCTCTCTAGCTTCAACAGCACAAGGTCTGCTTTGACTATCAAGGCACCCCGGAAATAACGGGTCAAAAGAGTGAGTGTGAAAAACATACAAAAAAAGAAGAAGAGGAAAATGACAATAGTAAGGATTAATTAGGAAAGAAAAAGCAGCAGTTCCTTGTTGTAGATCAGGCACAGTTATAATGAGCATGACATTATGAATCAGCCATCAGCAGCGGTTAACTTCAAAGGTATTTTGCGTCAATTTGCCTACTTTCCAATTCTGACGTGTGTGTGTGGTGTGTGTGTGTGGGGAAGGGGGTGCGGGCGGCGCTGGTCGTGGTGAGAGTGTGAGACACGAGACGCAGTCTGTGACGTCACCTCCTGATGCCACTCCCAGTACCAGTACGTACTGGCACCGGCAATACTCGGCACTAAGTGGCGACACCGGGTTTTGCCGGTACTGCCCAGCACTAGATCTAGCACACACATGAACACATACACACGTGCACACAGCCGAGCAGTCGGCGATGAAACCTAGATCCAGTGACGAAGCCCATCGCAAGCGTGGCAAAGCAACTGGCAAGAAAAGCCCCGAAGACGACAAAAATAGATAGCGGAAATACATCGTCTGATCTCAATCTCGATTCTAGATCTAGATCTAGATCTAGACATCTAGGCCTCTATATTTGGGCCAATCACAGAGGAGAGCTAGATCTAGAAAATCTAGATCTAGATTTTTAGATCTAGAATCTAGATCTAGAGGTGCTAGAATCTCTATTCTAGCAGCAGCTTCTTTTTTATGTCTTCTTTATTCATTTGTGTTTGTTGGGGTGGTCGCTCGTTACAGAAGTCCTCAAAAAAGTATAAATTCATCCCAAAATCCTAGATCTAATTAGATCTAGATTCTAGATCTAGATTTCTAGATCTAGATTTCTAGATCTAGATCTAGATCTAGATCTATATCTATATCTATATCTAGATCTAGATTCTAGATCTACCCTCTAATCATCAACTAACAACAGGGCAGCAGACAAACAGTTTTACTAACATTTCTAAAGTAAAGAAGAGACAGAAAAGATTTTTTTACAAGAATGAGTTGGATCTAGCATTTGGGCCGTAGACCTAGATTTTGGATCTACAGTAACCAAAGTCAAGAGTGTTTTTTAACGGGTTGTGAGTGCCTGAGCCTGAGGCTGAGGTACCCACACTCAGCCACACTGCCACACACGAAATAAATCGGCGACTGCTGACAATATTCCACTCGTTTGTAACATTCAATATAAATTACAGGCAAAAATATGAAGAAGGGATGGACATGAATCCAACTCTTCCTAAAAAGGCCAAATGGTCGTAAAAATCTATAACAACATAGCCAGATAGTTCTGTACTTCTAACAAAACCGATTTCTAAAGTTCGTATCGTCACTCACTTGCCACAGACTCCTCGGACGCCATTTTGACGCGCCTCTTTTTCAAAAGATTATGTCACGTGACAAAGTAGCCTGGCCGCTGGCCTGTGCCGAAAACATCATTCACTCCCAAAGATAGCCCAGCCAAGGCCTGGAATATACATACTGGAATTTGTATTTTTTTTAACGTCAAGAAAAAGAATTTAATCATAATTATATCTCTGTTTTATAACAGGGCTAGGCCACATTATTCATGTGAAATGTTTAAAAAATATGTATACTTTTGCTTTATAGCCTAGAGCAGATCTAAAGACAAAGCCAACGTAACGTCCGCGTTGTTTCTCAACGAACCAAGCTTATTGTGTCGTGGGCCTATATATATAGGCTACGTACTGGATTTTTTTTTTAAACGTCAAGAAAATGAATTTAATCATAATTATATCTCTGTTTTATAACAGGCCTAGGCCACATTATTCATGGGAAATGTTTAAAAATATGTATACTTTTGCTTTATAGCCTAGAGCAGATCTAAAGACCAAGCCAGCGTCCGCGTTGTTTCTCGGAACCAAAACTGCTCAATTTCATGTGCACGTAACAACGCACTCAAGAATTATCTTCATTTTTGGGGGGGGGGGGTAAGTATTTTTCGGCGTTCACAACGGCATAAGGGCATATGAGCGCACGAGACACACCCAACATTTTCAGTTGGTACGAAATTTTGAATTTTGCCCGGGTGGTGGCCGACTCCGATTTTAGACCACCAACGTGTCTTTAACGTGCACACGGGACCTCCAAGATTTTTTCGCCCTTGTTCCGAGATGGCTAGGTGTAGATCTTTCCTACCAGAAGATCAGCTGGGGGTGTGCCTGAAAGACTCAAGAATGTTAATAGCAGTGCAAATCATCGGGGATTGTTGAGATGCAAATGCAATCCTGGTTGCACAATATAATTGACAGTTTTTAGGATGCCTACGCACAGTTCAATATAATTGACAATTTAATCGTGCAAACCAGGCTCATTTTGGTCTCGCAATACCCGCTGAGACAGGATGGGTGATTTCGACCCCACAATCGCTGTGGCAGTTGCTCTTGCTGCAGAAAACGGGCATTGAAATACCACAAAAGTTTGTTCATAAACCTGGCCCGTCCCTCAACCAGATTTTTCTGAGTCATGCACTTTCTCTAATTCCTTGCGTTGTTGTTGTTATTGTTGTTATCGATCCAGCAGCAGCTGGGCTTTCGCCCTTCTGTCCAATGCCATGCAGTTAGTGATAAGTGCAGGTCTGCTGCAGTTGCTGTAATGTTCCATAGAGTGTGTTGTCTGTGTTAGGTCTCGGAGGGAGAAGGGTAGCTCTGGTGTCATTTAGGGCTGTGCAGTGGAACAAGTGATGCTCCACAGTCTCATATGCATAGTCACACAAGGGACACATTGGGGGAAGTTCCGGGTTTATTCTGTTCAGGTGGAAGTTGAACTGTATATGTTCTGTTCGTAGGCGGAAGATCGTGGTCTGTTTCTTTCTCTGAAGGCGGTTGATATTGTCATTCCTTTTTGTTGTGGTCATATGTTTGAAAACTGCTCTGCCTGGCTTTCCCAGGGCCCATCCGTTCATCCAATCTTGTTTGTTGTTGCTTTTGATGATTTGTTTTGCAGTGTTGTATGAAGTTGGGGTGTTTGGTTGTTCCTGTCTAGATCCCCGTTTGGCAAGTGTCTAATTTCTTTGATAATTTGTTCTGTAGGCATTGATCTATCTCTTTTTGACATTTTCTCTTGTATAGTTTTGGTACTTTTTTTTTCCAATCAATACACCATGCATTGTTCTTTTGTCTGTTGCAGTAATCGTCACATTTCACTTTCTATGGGGCTAGTAAACTTTCGTAAACCTCGATAAACTCCAATTGAAATGCTTTAATGTCTTCTTCTATATCAGACACCCCATTCATGATGACGGTACGAAACCTGGAAGGAAAATGATTAATCATTGCACAATTTAAATGACGGTCGCCACACACGGTCAATTAAATTGTGCAAGCAAATAGACTTGTGCAATAAGATATCAAACTGATTTTGCGCAATTCGTCAATATCGCCGATACACAGGCAATTTGGGGGGCTCTCGTGTCCTAGAGGTTAAAGTGTTTGCCTCTCATTCAAAGGTCCCGGGTTCGAATCCGGGCACGAACCGAAAAATTTGCTTCTCTAAAATTGTCTCCTTTCACCTCCTTTCCTGCTCTCTAGCAATGTTCTGTCGTCTGCTTTGTCTCCTCTTTCGGCCCCACCCCCTCACCTCCTTTGCCCCCTCCTCTGGGCTCCTGACTCTTTCTGCAGCTTTAATCTACTGCTACTCCTTGTCTCCTTCTTACTGAATTTCCCGACCCGATCGCCTATGTGGGCACCCCCTATAACCATCATATTGCTGCTACTCAGACTTATTATAAAGTAGAAGCAGAAATTATGAACAACTTCCCCTGTCATTTATTAGGAGATCGCATTGATGTGTGGCCTTAAGTTTTGCCACTAAAATTTAGTAAAATGTGCCTCTGGCCTAGTATCTGCGTTTGTTGCCATTTTTTAAAAATCTAAAACTTGCCAAAACTTGCCCCCAAAAATGGCAAAAGTTGCCATAAGAGTTGCCATTAATTTTCAAGCTTTCAGCTCTCTGAGACAACGTAAGTAGCAACATGTTGATATAGGTAACTTAATCTAAAGCACCTGCAGAATGTCTTGTGCTCTGTTTTAAGCATCCAGAATATCATTTGTAGCCACACAGAGTGTAAAAACGTGAAAAATAGAGGTTTCACAACATAATGAAACCAAAATTAGAACAGCACATATACAACCACAAAAATTAACAAATAAGGGTGTGTTCACCTATCCGAAGATTGGCCGTTTTAACCCCAAACATGTGTAATTTAAAAAAAACAACAACAGGATATTACAAGTAAATTGTGGAATCACACACAAGGGGCCTGCCAGTGTGAGTACATGTATTTGGTTTTGGTGTAGACACGCTCTAACATAACACAATATATATTTTTAAAGGGTAGGAACAGCATCAAATTAAATTACATTACGCTATATAAACGGAAAAAAATAGAAAAACATAAGAATTAAAAAAAAAAAATTAACTCACCCATAAATTTAGAATACATCAAAGATAGGAAAATAAAAGACACACAGCAATTAGTATGTCATGTACTTATATTCTTTGCAAGAAAATAACCTATACAGGGATGCCTTAAAATTATCAAAATACATGTCTAATAAGTAATAGGTATATGAAGTAGCTTTTTTTCCTGAAAAATGCCCAAAAAATCGTGGATAAAAAAATACAAAAAATCGCGGCCGCGATTCGCGCGTCGACAAACGCAGATGCTAACGAGCGTCTACTGACGAGCAGTGAAGTAAGTCAGGCTAATAGGTCTACGCAAAAAGTGCATGAGAAGCGGGGTGATATCAACATTCCTATTTTCCGCGAGACGGAGATTTTAATTAAATTATTTCATATACTTTGTTGGGTTTTTTATGGAGAAAAGGTGTGGGTTTTTTTCCCCTCGCCTCAATTGTGAAAGAAATAATGATTAAGTTGAGACAAACTGCTACGCTAAGTAGGGGTCGGTAACACCGGTTCACGAGTTAAAAAGATATATTGAGGATAAGCTGCGCCACTTTGACCACTATATAGTTGTAGTTGTACTTACTAAGTTGTAGTGTCTTCTTTTCACTTACTGCTTTTCATACTGCATCATTAAAAATTTCTGGCCAAACATTGTTTAAGCCCCCCCCCCCTGCCTGTCTGTCTGTCTGTCTGTCACATTATAAATTACAGCGGACATTCCTCTTGACATTATAATGTATAACACATGAATATGCCAAGGCCTAGCTCAGGTCTCATGATCGCATTTGAAGGGTTAAGGCGCCCAATCTGGGAATCAATTGGAAACCAAACAAAAGCGAAGGTTTATAATATGTTATTTATTATTATAACATTGTATAATATATTATAGCCGGTAGATAGATAGATAGATAGATAGATAGATAGATAGATAGATAGATAGATAGATAGATAGATAGATAGATAGATAGACCCTAACCAATGTACACATTAATATCACAGGCTATTATTTAAGTTCATTTTTATTTCAAGACGAGTCAACTCTGTGTCATATAGGTTAGTATTTGTGAGGCAGCGTGGTGGAATCAGGCTCTAGTCAATTTTTGGGCATGTAGAGTTATTCGTATCATCTTAAAGCTTGTTCACTTGTCTTTATTTGGAGGAAAAAAATATCCAATAATTTTTAATACAAGTCGAGATATTTGCGAAAGAAGGAGGTGGGGATCACTTGTTCTCAGAGGTAAAATTAGTGAAAAAATGGAAGCCAAAGATTAGTTATTTCCTTAGCTTAATAGTCCTTGGTAACTGAAAATTTACATTTTTTGTGCCTTTAATCAACGTTTTTCAGAAAAAATTCACACAGGAATGAGTTCTTTAATGGGCATGAGAGGTGTTGAGTGAAAAAATAAAAATTCGATAAAAATTCACTAACCTGCGGGAAAATGCAAGTTTCTTCATTTTGATTATTTCGACGAGAGCCTGATTCCACCACGCTGCCTCACATTTTTTCAAATCAAACTATAGACGCGTACAGCCTACTGAGAGAGAATCCGTTTGGTACTTCGATGAGGATAGTCGAGTGCGATATATAGGGCCTACACGTAAGCACACATTGTTTCATGTATCTTTCACAGTCACCCTCGCAAAAGAGGTAGGCCTAGCCCACAGAATTCTGCATACGTAGAATTCTGTGGCCTAGCCCTAGCCCTAGAATAACTATAATATATAAATCTAAAAAAAAAGAACTTGAAGATAGGTGAAGGTAATATACGGTAATTAGACTAGAAAAAAATACAATAGGGCGGCTGGTGGTTAGTAAAACTGATCGGCTGTCCTTCACATCGATTCCCTTTTCCATCTCTTCCCCTTTATCCGTTATCCCCAACAACTTCCCCTGCTAATTATCGCCGACCCGCGAATCGCGGCCGCGATTTTGGGCATTTTTTGGTCCGCGAATCGCGGCCGCGATTTTTGCATTTTTTGAAAAAGACAAAACAACAAACCTACGTCATAACATAACATTAACAAGACATTTATTTTGATAAGTTTTAAGA